TAGTTCAAGCCTGGACGCTGGGATTTATTTAAGCAACTGTTCAATGCTATGACGGGAGGATGGTCGGGTGTGTGAGATCAAATGGGTCAAAGGGTCTTCACGTGAACTGATCTTGTGAGGCCTCTATCCCTGTCTGTCTGGATTGCATTTAGTTCTTAGCTCCAGTGGTGAATGAAGTACTTGTGTTTAATGCTATTGTTAATGTAGTTGTGGTGGCGCTGGTAGTGGTGGTGTGTGTGTATGTATGTGTGTGTGCGTGCTTGCATGAGTGTGTGTATGTGTACAGAATATACTGTGAAGTGGATTGGCTGTGTATATTTTGTGGGTGAGGTGAGCTGAGTCTCCCACGTGGCACACACACACACATTTGATCACAATGTGGATTGGGACAGTGTGAGCCCAAATGGCTGCGAGCTGTTTTGGCATGGATTTCATTGAGAGTTGATTGCATGTTTTCCCTTCCAACGGAGACCTGCCACTCAAAGATCTCTTCACCCATCAGGAGTGGTGGTCCTTGAGGCTAGCTCAGGCGTCCAATAAGACAGAACTCCACGGGTGTCCAAATGATGTCCTGACAAGTCGAGAAGTGGTGTGAGCATGGAAGTAAAACTCTTTAAAGCAACATTAATAAGCCAGAGAACTTGTCACACTCTGGTCTCCAGACTTTCTATTAAATCTGTTCACATCCTTATAGGAATCTCTTCACTGCTGCGTTAAAAGTCCAATTTGTTTCCATTGCTGGGAGAGATTATTGTAGCACATAAAGCTTGTCATTTTGCTTTTATTGGAAGCAATCAAAAAGTCTCTCCGCAACCTTCAGTTAGTTTAACAGGCAGAAAAGTAGCGTGGGGGCAACGGCAGGTAAATGGGATTGAAAGGATCGCTCTTAAAAGACACAATTGACTGAATAGCCTTTTTTTGTGCTGTATATTTCTATTGCTTTTCTGGGGGTAATAATTCTTTAAAATATAATTATAATTTGGTCTTTCAATCCACGGCTGTTTGTGAGACACTGCTGTGTGCAATCGGTTGCCGTGTTTTCCCCACAAAATATACAGTCAGTACACTAGATAGTATATAAAAAAACACAAAAAGTGTTATGTCAATGCAAGTTGTTGTTGTTGTTGATCGTGCTTCACAGAATCCAGTGGATACAGCTTTAGATTGTGTATAGGTCGTGCCCGCGTTTGCTTGTTTCAAATCTTTTCAGGCTGGCAGATAGCATTTGCACACATAAGATTGCTTATTGCTGAAATTTCCCTAATTTAGTCAATGCTGTATTGATTTCAGCGCTAAGGTCACCCATTCAGATGTTAAACATGAATGGAATGTTGAATCCCTCTTTTTTGGTTCCCAGTTATTGAATGGATAACGTCCTCCTAACATGAAAGGCACTTTACAAATGTAATTTGTTGTTGTTGGAAAGGGCACAGGGAATGTGAACACACAAGCCTCACAAAATCCCTTCCTCTCATCTTCTTACTCTTTATCAATTGATCTAAAGTATTCACTGAGAGTGCAAGTATTTGCAAACTGTAATGCACCCTGGTGACTTTGTCTCATTAAAATCCTGGAGCCTGTCCAGGCACACAGTACTCGTGCAGCCTGCCAACACTCTGGACGTTTCAGAGGGCTGAATGCCATATGGATTCAATACTGTACATCAAGGTGTATCTGTCTATTAATTAATGGGTAACTCTGAGTGGAATTTTGATAATAATCTTTACGTTTGGTATAGCACTTTATCATGTCATTGAGGCGTCCCCAGGGCGACAGTGGATGGGGGAGTGGGAGCTGAAGAAGGTGGAGGGGGCAGGTGACCAAAAGCATGGTTGAAAGCTCTCAAGGCAGGCTTTAAAGACGGTGAGGTAGGGTGCAAGAAGGAAGGTCTCCGAGGTGGAAGTCTGGCGAGCGAGGGCAGAATAGCTGAAAGCTCACCCACAGATGGTTGGGCGGGTCAGGCCGAGGATGTATGGGGCGGGGGGGATAGAGATGGGAATCAGGCCAGTGTTCACTGAGTGGAAGGAGTGTTGGGAGAGGGTGTTGGTAGGATTGTAGTGCTCTTGCAAAGCAACACAGCGTTTCTCACATTGGTAAGGCATTGAGCCAAGCTGTGCTCTAGCTCCCGCTCACACTTGTCTGGGTTAGTCTAATAGACTTCCTGTTCGGACAATAGATGTGAGCGAAAGCGCATTCACAGTGAGTTGCAGTAATGAAAAGCGCTTCACAAGAGCATGCCTACATAAACTCCATCACCCCTTCGATTAACATGTTTTCACTTAGCTTTTCAATCTCGAACAATAATATGCCTGCGCCTTTTATTTCCCAGTTTAGATTTTAATTCACCTCAAATGACCAAATGCGTTCTTTTGAATAACCACAATAAAACAGTTAAACAACAGAGAGGGAGGTTGAGTGGATTGGAGGGGAAGCTATCTGTCATAGGCGGAAGTGAATATGAATACCAGAGAGAGAAAAAAACAGAATTGACCTTTCTGCAACCTTTTCTGCATAAGAGGATGCAATGATGAAATCCTTTTATCTGAACAGCTGGCACACAGGGCCATAGGAAACAGAGAAACAATAACCAGATGTGAACAGGCATGTTGCACACAGCATTCAACAGTGCATTTTTTCAGGGCTGAAGTGAAGTCTTGCTAAATCTTAGATACTTAAGATGAGTGGCGTTCCGTAGCGTAGTGGTTAGCATGCTCGCCTCGCACATGAGAAGACTCGCTATATCAAATGCAAGGATTATTATTATTATTAGATTCCCCAGCAGTAAGTAGAAACCCGGTTGTTAGTCGGTTGGCGGATCGCTCCCCTAGGATAATAATCCCTCAAAAAACAATATGGTCACTCAATCCATGCATTCTCCCCTAAAATGCACAGTCACTACCCTTCTGTGAAGCTCTTTGAGAAATCCTTCTGATATGATATGGTGCTATATAAAATACAAGGATTATTATTATTTCTCCATCCATTGGTTGTAGGACAATGCTGTGTGCAATTGGCTGCTGGGTTCAACCACAAAAAGTCAATTCACTTTACAATATGTCGTATGAACCTCTTTGAGACGTTTCAACAACGTGATAAAGTGCTATATCAAATGCAAGGGTTATTATTATTGTTATTATTATCTGTTTAAATTGGCGGAGCACTCAATGGGACGAGATATTAAACTGAAGTCCCATCTGCCTGCTCAGGTCAATGTTATTACAGGTCTGATGACACTCTTCAATGTGAGAAAGGAGCTTGCCCCGGTTTTCTGGCCAACTATGCTCCAAGTTAGATCATTTTGTTGCTGTTTGTCGGACTTTGCTGTGTGCAAATTGCTGCCGCATCGGCCTACAAAATACACAGTCATTACAGTTTAAAGCAATTACCGTGAAGAGGTTTGAGACCTCTCAGTGTTATTAGACGATACATCAAGTGCAAGGATTATTATTGTAAGCAGATTTTCAAACAGGAAATTTGTCATCCTCTGATGAGTTGTATCATCTTACCTGTCAAACTATTTGTATCATTTCCTTCAGTGCTATTATCCTGTTAGCCATTAACAATTCTTGGACAAGGGAACTTATTTTCCAGCCAAAGCCCCAATGGGTTGGATGGCAATGGATGGAGAAATAATAATAATCCTTGTATTTGATATAGCGCCACATCATATCAGAAGGATTTCTCAAAGAGCTTCACAGAAGGGTAGTGACTGTGCATTTTAGGGGAGAACGCAGTAGTCAATTTGGGCACAGCAATGTCCCACAAACAGCCAAGAGGCAAACAGCCAACTTTATTTGGGAGATTGCTGACCAGGACACTGGGAGAGAGAAACACCTTTGTCTTTTAGAGTAGTCCTGCATTACTGTTAAAGTCCACCTGAGCAGTCATACAGGACTTTGGTTTAACGTCTAATCCGAAGGATGACACCTCTAGCAATTCAATGCCTCTTACAGCACCATATTGGAGTATCAGTCCTTCATGATCCTAAATGATTTTATTAATTTCAGCGCAATTGGCATTATTTCTATTTGTTTTTCCTGCCGGTGAATTTTTTTTTCCAGGTGAGGTTGTACGAACATGCAGAGTAAACTGGCATTTTCTGGTTTCCTTGAGTTTATTTGACAGCAAGTATCAATCGCCTTATTCTGCATTTCAAAGATGCTATTGTTGGATGTTGCCATATTTTCATTTACATCTGCACTGCATTTTTTTTTACACACAAACACACACACTCTCTCGCTTCATTGTCATATTGGAGATGTCTCCATTCTAATACCTGTAAAATCTGGTTTTATTTTTGCTGGGTGAAAAAACAGTGGATGGAGACTTTGGGATGTCTTATGTTTCTTTTGGTCTGCTGGGTGTCTGACACATGCAGAAACCTATCACCATGCTTAAGAGTATAGTATAGTATTAGGATTATTATTATTATTATCCAAACCAAATGGGGGAATACCATGCGCCCACCTACACGTGGAAATTCCAGAGATAGATTGTTGGAATGCACACTCACTCCCTGGAGGCACGGGTCCTGTTTACCTAATCCAGGAAAGTATTAGGTGCAGGTTTGCAAGAGCCAAGGCTTGGGGAGACTTGGGGAGTCTTAACCAGCTAAACCCACGTAGCTTGTCATTGATAACACTGACTAGAAAGTTTTCTTGTTGCTTGTCCAGGTAGGAAAGCCCTGCCCATTAGGACTTTGTCTGGCAGGGTTACCAGGAGCTAAGTAGGACATCTCCAGGATATCAGAGGAATTCAGATTCCATACCTTAGAGAATTTTAATTTTAAACTATGTTTACACCAGAGACTGATTAACATTCTAGAAAAGATTTGACTAGTAAAGAGCCGTTATCTAGTTGCTGTGCTGCCCGAATCACTGCTGTTCACCCACATCATACAGTCACTGCACTTTACAGTAAAATCTTGTGAAGTGCTTTGAGACATCCTCCCTAAAGATTATTATTGTGACTAATGGAGCACCTTGCTTTATGTTTGGTAGAGCCTTGGTTCAACGGACTGGATGACTTTGAAACCATGTTGGAAAGCGTTGAGCAGCTGAGGAACAAGAAGAGGAGAGTGCGGAGACACGATAAAGACGTTGACTACAACATTGAGGTGCTTCTGGGAGTTGACGACTCAGTGGTGCGATTTCACGGCAAGGACCACGTGCAGAAGTATCTCCTTACACTTATGAATATAGTAAGTGTTATAATATAGTAAGTGTACTGGCTGCTTCATTGTCCGTTTGTTACCCATTCAGTCACTACGCCCCTCACCCCTGGAACTCCCTGCCTCTATCCCTCCACCACACCTCTCTCTATCTATCTTTAATTCCCAACTTAAACCCTACATCATAATTGCACATGGTGATCAGTGCTGGTAGATAAATGATTCCATTAAAATTATACTGATTAAAAAATCTCTTCCCAATCTATCTAACTTTATTATTTAGGTGGGTGCTTAGCACCTGCCAAGAGCACATTTATCTCCTTTTCTCCACACCTCACTATTGGCTTCAAAGACAATAGAACAAGAGGACTCAAGTGTAGAGTTGCAAAGGGTAACTTCATCACAGGTGCCAAGAAGTTTTTCTTCACTCAGAGGGTAGTTTCTTGGAGAGTCCTGTATTCTAGTGGTCAGACCACTTTCCTCACAAGTGAGAGGACTCGGGTTTGATTCCCGGGCAGGGCGAAACTTTAGACAAGTTTCCTTACTCCACACGCCTCTGTTTACCGAGCAGTAAGTCGGAACCCGGTTGTTAGTCTTCTGGTTGCCTCAGTATTCACCAGGGAGACGGATCAGATAGACATGACAGTAGAAGAAGACATCAAAAATAATATAAATACATTTAAGATACATATTTGAGAGGAGATATAATCGAAAAACTAACGAAACTCAGAGAGGATAAAACCCCTAGTCCAGATGGATTGCATACGGGTATATTAAAAGAGTCGAGGGAAGAGATAGCAGAGGCATAATTACACATATATAATAACTCATTAGAAAAGGGAGTAGTGCCAGAGGACTGGAGCTAATGTTATACCTGTATTTAAAAAGGGAGATAGAATAAGCCCAGGGAACTATAGACCTGTCAGTTTAACATCGGTGGTAGGAAAGATAATGGAATTCTTACTGAAGGAGGTAATAGAAAAACATCTGGAAACGGAAAACATAATAAAGAATAGTCAGCACAGATTTCAAAAAGGAAGGTCATGCTTGACCAACCTCATTGAATTCTTTGAAGGGGTAACAGAAAGAGTAGACAAGGGTAATGCAGTAGATGTAATATATTTAGATCTTCAAAAGGCGTTCGATAAGGTACCACATAATAGACTAACGAATAAGGTCAGAGCATGTGGAGTCAGGGGAAAAATAGCAGAATGGATAGAAAGCTGGCTATAAAACAGAAAACAGAGAGTAAAGGTAAAGAGTAGCTACTCAGACTGGCAGGGGGTGGGAAGTGGTGTTCCACAAGGATCGGTATTAGGACCACTATTGTTCACAATATACATTAATGATTTGGATTCGGGAATCAGCAGTACAGTTTCAAAATTTGCGGACAACACCAAATTGGGGGCAGGAGTAGTTAATACAGAGGACTGCAACAAATTACAGCAAGATATTAATTAACTTGCTGAGTGGGTATTTAAATGGCAAATGCATTTCAATGTAGAAAAGTGTGAGGTGGTACATTTTATTAGAAGAAATAAGGAAGTCACAAACATCCTGGAAAATAGAAATCTAGATGGGGTAGAGGAGCAAATGGATCCAGGGGTACACATACACAATTCACTAAAAGTAGCAACCCAGGTTAATAAGGCCATAAAAAAGCAAACCAGTTCATTTCTAGAGTGATAGAAATGAAAAGCAGGGAAGTTATGGTAAACTTCTATAGAACCTTGGTTAGACCACACTTACAATAATGTGTCCAGTTCTGGTCCTCACATTATAGAAAGGATGTAGAGACACTGGAGAGGGTGCAAAGGAGATTCACAAGGATAATCCCAGAACTGAGAGGTTATACCTATCAGGAAAGGCTGAACATACTTGGACTCTTTTCTCTTGATAGAGGTCTTTAAAATGATGAAAGGTGTTGATAGGGTAGACATAGGAAAGATGTTTCCACTTGTGGGGGAGACCAAAACCAGGGGCCATCAATATAAAATAGTCACAAATAGATCAAATAGAGAAGTTAGAAGAAATTTCTTCACACAGAGAGTAGTGGGAATGTGAAACATGCTACCGCAAGGAGTTGTCAACGTGAAAAGCGCTATACAAATGTAATCTTGTTGTTGTTGTTGAGGCAAATAGCATAGATGTATTTAAGGGAAAGCTAGATAGGTACATGAGGGAGAAAGGAATAGAAGGTTATGCTTGAAGGCTTAGTTGAGGAAGGGCAGGAGGAGGCTCATGTGGAGCATAAACACCGGCATAGACCAGTTGGGCCGAATGGCCTGTTTCTGTGCTGTATATTCTAATGTATTCTAATGTAAATATATTAGTCAATGATGGATCAGTTTCCGGGGGTAATAATCCCTCCAAAAAAATGTGTCACTCAATCTACGACTGTTTGTGGGACACTGCTGTGTGTAACTGCCTTCTGCGTTTCGCCCATAAAATATACAGTCAATTCACTTTATAGTATATCCTGTTAAGCACTTTGAGACAATTCAAAGATGTGATGAGGCACTACATAAAATGCAAGGATTATAATTATTATTAGCGACTGGAACAGGGCTACCAGGAAGGATGGTTAGAGTTGCATTTCCATTAAATTGTGAATTGAAGAATTCTGCTGAAATAGACTAAAATTGTCCTCAGGAGATTGAGTTGTTGGGATATTGAACCTTGTCAAGTCAGGTGGTAGAGGGTAGAGTCTACTCTGGGATTCAAGAGGGAAGTAGACAGGTATATGAAGGATAGAGGCTTGAGGTGTTATGGGGATAAGATAGGATTGAATTTACAGCTCGCTCTGACTGGATGGGGTAAATGGCTTCCTCCTGCGCAATAAAAGTATATATAGTGACCTCCTCACTCCCCAAATCATTACCCGGCACTCCTGCTCGACTGAAACTGGCCTCCTGCTGTGCCCTCGCCCTCTCCACCCCACCATCGGTGGTCGCGTATTCAGCCACTACGCCCTGATACTCTGGAACACTCTCCCTTGCCTCCTCTCTCTCCTTTTTCAAGTCGCACCTGAAAACATTCCTCTTCGACCGTGCTTACAGCCACCTCCCATCCCCCACCACCCCAGCTCGGAGTCAGGCTCCACCACTGTCAAGCGCTATGAGATGCTACCCTGCGTGGAGGGCGCTATATAAGTGCAAGTTGTTGTTGTTATAGATTGCTTTGGTTCTAGATTTCTTGTTTCACACTGGGACCTTCTGCGTGTTTATTTTATAAGACTGGGTTCTGTGCTCGTCCTTGCACTCCTGTGGCTCTGTATTTGTCGTGACCCTCTGCTGCAAGAATCGCTGAGTAGTTTAAATGTTTCCGTACCAAATGCTGATATTGCTTTTCAGTATCGCATGACAGCGAGAGGACTACATTTAGGAATGGACACCGCTGCATTCGGTCTGTGTTAGCTGAATATTCCTGTTTTCTTTGATGGAAGGCTTTTGGCTCCCCATTAGTGTGGGCTATAAATAGACCCATTATTCAAGCTGTCAGGCTCCTACAGCCTGACACGCAAACCATCACCTAGGCACATGTGAGACTGATACCTCAAAGAAATACCATCATGTTTTTCTCTTTCACCACATGCCTATCGCTACTCTGTGCTTACTTTGCAAACAGACTTGTTGATTTGGTTGTGGATTGATAAACATTAACATGCAATTTGTTTTAATAGATACGATTCAATGTTTCTCACTTCTAGCCCTACCCCCTGCTTTCCCCCCACTGTTTTATGTCAGGAGGGTGAATGGCACTCGGAACTTAGAAACATAGAAACATAGGGACAGGAGGAGGCCATTCAGCCCCTCATGCCTGTTCCGCCATTCTATTAGATCAAGGCTGATCTGTACCTCAACTCCACTTACCCAACCTTGATCCCCTTAATTAACAAACATCTCTCCACCTCAGTCTTGAAAATTTCAATTGATAAGTCTTGGTTTCAAAAAGGTATCGAAATTTAGGTGCAATCAGGGCATCAGCCTGGCTCAGTCGATAGCACTCTCGTTTCTGAGTCAGACGGTTGTGGGTTGAAGCTCCACTTCAGTACTCTGAGTTCACAGTCTAGGCTGACGCTCCAGTGCAGTGTGGTAGGAGCACTGCATTGCTGGAGGCTCTGTGCTTCGGATGAGATCCTGTCTACCTGTTCATGTAGATGTTAAAGATCCCTTGGCATTAATCGAATGGAAAGGGCAGTTTCTCTCTGCATCTGGGCCAACATTCCCACCATGTAAAATAGGTCATACGTGGAGCATCATTGTGTTCAAATTGGCTGCTGCGTTCACCTACAAAACACACAATCACTAAAATCTTGCAAAGCGCTTTGAGATACCTCGATGATGTGATAAGACGCAACTTCGATGCGAGGATTATTATTATCACAACTTGGCTTTGATTAAGATCAAGGAAGTAAAGGTTTGAATTAATGTCAGAGACTAAAGAGAGAGAGAGATGAATAAAACGTGCAAAGGCAATGCTATGGTCAGCTAGTGCCTCTTTTCCATTAGCTTGTTCTCCTTGGCTGCACTGCCAATATCGTAGAAGGAAAAATTTGATACTGAGTTGGTAATGGGACTTAAAATCCCCTGGAGAATCGCAATGAAAGGACATGGAAATGTCAGAAGAATTTACAGTGAGCTTGAACTCAAACCTGCAGCTAAGCTTGCTCTTTGTTGGAGGAATGTAGGATGACAGCTGGAGCTCGCTGCAATAACAAATGCAGGTGCTCAGCGATTGAGAAGCTGTGGCGAAAGGTTGGTTGCTCTCTGATGAGATTTTTGGGTACCAAATACAGTGCTAAGTGTTGGGAGTTTGAGCAAGAATGATCAATGCCTCAATCAACTTTACACTCATTGTAGAAACAAATATAGATTGGGAGCTAGATATATTTATTTATATATATTGTATTCTTGGCCAACAGTCCCGATTAAATCGGTTATTCACTTCATGTTCACTTACAATGTGGTCATTCAATCCACGACTGTTTGGAGGACACTACTGTGCGCAATTGGCTGCCATGTTTCCCCCACAAAATATGCAGTTAAAACCAACAGGAAAGCATCAATGGATTTAGGAGAAAACGTGATGCATGCACGAGGGAAAAGGGAACAGAGGGTGTAGGAGAGGGGAATAGACTTCTGTGGACTATAAACACCAGCATGGACAGACTAGTTGGGCTGAATGGCCTGTTTCCATGCCCTATGACTGCATGTATGTATCTATGTAACTGTTGAGCCATGCTGGCTTTAAATGTATGCCAGTTTTGACCTAAATGTGGTCACTTATTTGAATGTCATATTGTCCAGATTGATGTAAATTAACTTGCTGTCTGTGCTGTAGATATTAGATGTTTCCGGCTTCCGCAGTGGGAATGCTCCTTTCACTCCTTATCACTTGAGGAGATAGTTTCTCTGAACTTTCTGAGATGCTTTGCTAGCTGAGTGCTTTTGGCGAGGGCTGAAAGTGTTCTCTGCATGTGAACACATATGTCCTTCTGAATTTATCCTGCGTGGTTCTAATGTTTTGAGCCCTTTATCCACAGCTTGCATTTATATAGTGCCCTGCATGGAGGATAATGACAGCACTTCACAATGACGGGATTAGATCCCAATCAAGGGAGGACGTGGAGAAGGGGAGGGGGAGGTGACACGGTTGAAGAAGTAGGTTTTTAGGCGGGATTTAAAGACTGAAAGGTTTGGTGAGGGGTCAGTATAGGAGTGGGTTAAGAGAAGATTACAGAGATAAGGAGGTGTTATGGCATGGCTATATCTCGTTTTGAACTGGGGGCAGTGGGATCTGAAATCCACCATAGGGTTATAATAATCATTTATAATATTCATTTATAATATTTATAACAATCCTTGCATTTGATATAGCACCTTATCACGTCTTCTAGATTGCTCAAAGTGCTTCACAGAATATATATGTAAAGTGAATTGACTATTCTTTTGGGGCAGCCAATTGCGCAAAGCAGTGTCCTACAAACAGTTATGCATTTGCACATGGATTACACCCGACACATAACAGACCCCATTGTTGTATAACACTCTTCTCCAAGTGAGGCCAGCTCGAGTTGATTGGAACTCAAGTCATTATAGTTTGGAATATAGTGATTTTAACAGCTAATGCCATGTAAGCTCCTATTTTCCAGACAATTACATAAAATGCCAAAATTGTCAATAATGAGATTTCATCTCTTCTGGATTAATTTCCTTGTCTGGGTAAACAGATTATTCATTTTCTGCATTTGCATATAATGAACTTGTAAATATTGCTAGTTGGCTATCCTGGGTGTGTTGTTATTATGATGGTGCTCCATGACTATAATTCATTAGTTTAGTTGCACAATCACTGTGTTATATTCAGTTTCATAATAAAACTCAATTTTGAATCCAAACGGGGCTGATTATAAAGGAAATGTGATCCTTAGCATATGCGTTTATTGTAGCAACCACAAAAACAACTTATAATCAAAAATAATTATCCTTGCATTTGATATAGCACCTTATTATGTTGTTGAGATGTCTCAAAGAGCTTCACAGTATATATTGTAAAGTGGATTGACTGTGTGCTTTGTGGGTGAAACGCAATAGCCAATTGCACACAGCAGCGTCCTACAAACAGTAGTGGATTGCGTGACCAATTTTTTTCTTTGGAATCCAACTTGCATTTACATAGCACCCTTTAAGTGGGGCAGCATCTCGGAGTGTTAACAGGGGTAGAGCTTGGAGCTGAGCCAGGTCAGAGGAACGGTTAAAGAGGAACGTCTACAGGTGCGATTGTGCATTGCTTGACTTTAACTGTGAGATTCTTTCCCTACAACAGCTGACTGGTGTCCAAAAGAACCTCTTTGTTTTCTTCCCAGGTCAATGAAATTTACCACGACGAATCTCTGGGAGCCCATATCAATGTTGTGTTAGTTCGGATCATCATGCTGAGTTACAACAAGGTAAGAGAGAGAGAGAGGAACCTTTTTGTGGCTGAAAGGGTGGTCGCTGCTCGTGCATTAAAGCTTCAGCAAGTCACAGACACGTCGCATCGCAAACGCATCAGTTTATCCACTGCTCATTCCTGTGTTACTATCCCATCCTGTCAAGCCTCTGTGACTTGCCTCCCTTGCTAACCTCTGTGTTTCAGGTTCACTGTCTGTTTAATGCTACCAGCGCAATGGGAGGAGAAAGCAAAACAATCTCCAACTCTGTAGCGAGGAAAGTGGGATTAACTTCAAGTGTACGTAGGAGGGGATGGGGTCCGGAGGGGTTGGGGGTCCAATGCATTTGTTTCCATTGATTTGTGAGCCATATTCCACTGCTCCCCACAGGCTGAACAGCGAAAGGTTGGTGCACGGGTTTTCTTCGTAAACAGCTTGCAGTTTTGTGCTCATTGACGTGTTGTTTTACTCCAATTCAATGAGACTCACACAGCGCCTTTCACGCCGGGAGGATGTCCCAAAAGTGCTTGACAAATTCTGGCCGGGCATCAGGGCTGAGAGTGGAGCTGAGAGAAAAATTTTTTTGGGTTGGTCAGCCGGGTGACTGACACATGCAGAAACCCACCACTGTGCTTAAGAGTAAAACTGAGGGAAGGTGGATAAAGAGGGATTTCATTCAATACCATGGAAAGCAATTTGGATCAGAAGTACCCCACCATGCACTTTTTGGTTTTTTAATGTCCCTACGAATTTGGGGGGTGGGGAGGTGGTGGGGAAGTATTGTGAATTGAAGGCCCTGCTTTCACCGATGATGTTATAGCAGGGGCTGAGTGCAGGCAAGATGATAGAATAAAATCACATCCAGTTCCTTCTAAACAGTTTCCAAAGTGCAGCTCGCTGGTCAGACAGAGAATGTTTCACATTGTCCTTGGTCCCGGATATACCAATATATTCCATGTTGCCATTGAAAACCACAATGTTGAGGCTGTTGCCGTGCTGTTCTCAGTGAATGGGCTGGCACATGCACAATCCTGGCCTTGTTCACCAGTTGATCACAGCCACCTAGAAAGTGAAGAGCAGCCCTGTGTTCTGCATACGTTGCAGCCAAACTCTAAACACCTTCAGAGTTGCCAGCCTGGCCCAGTAGGTACCACTCCTACCTCTGAGTCAGAAGATTGTGATTGAGTTCACAGTCTGGGTTGATGCTCCAATACAGTTCTGAGGAAGGGATGGTTGTGGGGAGGGGGGGGGGGAATACTTCAATCAGTGGCGACCCGGTGACCTGGAAGTCGGCCATTTTGTAGTGAGCGGAGAGGAAGGAAATTAGGGACTAACTTCCTGTGGCGAATGAAGTAACCCAACGACTCCGGTGATCACATGCTCTGCACCAGCAGCAAACACTGATTGATTGATATCTTCCTCTTTATTCAGTCCATGACTCTGATCGAAGTGGGGAACCCTTCGCAGAGTTTGGAGAACGTGTGCCGATGGGCCTACTCGCAGCAGAAGCCTGTCACCAGCCACGCTGAGTATCACGACCACGCTATCTTCTTAACAAGGCAGGACTTTGGTCCAGCGGGAATGCAAGGTAAGACATCCCACTCGAGGTGGGTGTGGAGAGCTCCTGCACACATCTCCTTTATTGCTTCAACATGTCACCTTGCCTCAATTGGTCGTGCTCTCGCCTCTTGAGTCAGAAAGTTGTGGGTTTGAGCCCCTACGATTGGACTTGGAATCACAATAGTCTAAGATGACGCTCTAATGTAGTGCTGGGGCAGTACTTCATTGTCAGAGGTGCAGGCCTTTGGTTGAGATGCTATTCTCCCCGTCTGTCTTGTTAGACCTCATTAAAGATCCCATGATATAAAACACATGAAATTACTCCACTTTGCAGTATGACCCACAAAGTGCTTTAGAATGTCCTCTCGACATTCAAGGCGATGAATCATAAAAATTAGGATTATCATTCATAGGAACGTGGTTTTCCTCGAACGAAGAGGAAAAATTAGTGCAACTAAAGAGAACCGAAGTATATAGTTTGGGACATGACGTGGATGCAACTGCCAGGATGGTGGGAGGAAAACTAGATGGACCTTTGTCTTCTTCCATCTAGGAATTCTTATGTTCTTATGAGAACAAATCAGAAACAGAAACAATTTGCCCCAAAGGCCTTGTTATCCTACTTACGCCTCTCAAGCGCTTGCTAATTTGGGGAAGCCAGGAGGTAGGAATTATGATGAGACTGTTGGAAAGTTGGCTCTCACTTGGCATGTCACTTGAATATTCATTGAATGGAAATGCTTTCTGGAATGTCTGAAGTCTCTGGAGGTGTAGGTACGTTCGAGCAGTCTGCAAGTGAGTTTGGAGAAAGACAGCTGGAGTATAAAACTTGCCAGGCTCGGTGTTTTCTGTTAGAAACTCTGAGGAAAAACTGCTCTAATCAAGAGCTCTCCTGACCAAATACCCAATTGCGTGTTTCAACATAGGCATCAGTAATAATAATAACCCTTGCATTTGATATAGCGCCTTATCACGTGGTTGAGATGTCGCAAAGCACTTCACAGAATATTTTGTAAATTAGATTGACTGTGTATTTTGTGGGCAGTTTCCCAGATACAGTTGTGAATTAAGTGACCACATTTTTTTGGGGGGAGAATTTATTATCCCCAGATAGTGATCCTCCAATTGACTAACCACCGGTATGTAGCAGTTAGCTCACATGTGTGCTCCTGTAAAGTGGGAGTGCTGTAAAATAAAGAGATCTGTAGCTCTTCCACTTGACACAGGCTAACCTTCACAAGGTAATAGCCACACAAGGTGCAGTCTCTGACTTGTCCAGGAATGTCACCTTGGCTGTTACACCCAGGCCTCTAGCTGATCTCCCGTCCTCCTCCATCTCCTGTCACCCAGCTTTCTGAGCCATGGCTATGCTGGAGGAACATTCTGTTCTCTAGTTTGTCAGCCTCTGTATATCACTTTCCGAATTTTTTTTTTCAATTCGGGAAACATATCTGCGAGGCCAGGGACCACATGGAACAACGCAAAACTGGTTTCTGTCAATTCTTCAACAACAGAGTTTCCGGCAAGTCTGGCTGGCACTTTATGATGGCCCCATCAATCTTTGTTAATTACCATTCCGTGCACTTTATCTCGTCCTCTATGAAACAGAAACTTGTCCTAGATAATGTTGACTCCGAATTTTTTTATTTTCTTCCGACATCTCCATAGTTCCTTCTCTCACCTCTGGCCCTCGACCCTTCTCTTTGTATCTTGCAATCTCAGTCTGTTAAGGGTTGGAACAGGGTTACCAGAGTTGAAGCCAGGTTGCTGGGAGTCAGTTAAGAAACAGCTTGATGCTGTGATGGGAGGACAGGAGGGTGGATGTTCTGGAGGGATGAGATGAAATGGGCCGAAGGGTCTTCTTCATCCAAACCGTTCTAGTGATCTTCGTTTCTCACTTTTACCAACACCGTAGTGATATTAATAATAATAATAATAATAATAATCCTTGCATTTGATATAGCGCTTTTCACGTCGGGAGGACGTCCCAAAGCGCTTCACAGAACACACTGTAAAGTGAATTGACTGCATATTTGTGGGCGAACGCGGCAGCCAATTGCGCACAGCAATTTCCCACAAGCAATTGTAGATTGAAAATGACCAATTTATTATTGTTTTTGGTTTTGGAGGGATTATTATTAGGCTCTGTGTGGAGTAAGGAAACTTGCCCAACGTTTCGCGCTGCCTGGAATTAAACTCAGGTCTCTCGCTTGCAAAGCGAGTGCTCTAACCACTGAGCTACAGGACTCCATAATCCTTGCATTTGATATAGTTTCTTATCATCTCTTCGAGACGTCTCAAAGCACTTCACAGAATATACTGTAAAGTGAATTGACTGTATATGCTATGGGCGAAATGCAGCACACAGCAGTGTCTAACAAACAGTTATGATGTGATCATTCCTCCTCTGACTGTTCCTCCTTTGCTGATCCCAAGCTCTGAATTCACCATACCCCTTGTGCTTCCTTCTCCCTTGATCTTCATTGTATTGCAGGTTGCTCTATCTCATTCTTCTTCAGAATCCTAAGAATGTGGAGTCTTCCCCTTAGTCGCCTACTCTCAAATCCTATCTTTATAAATGAGTCTCCGGTTCCCTACCTCTCCGTTTCCTTCCCTTTGCTTGGAGTGCAACAACAACCCTGTGAAGCGCTCCAAGACGTTACCCTATGTGAAGGGTTCTGTACTAATGCAAGTTGCTGTTGTTGTTCCTGTTGACATGATTCAGAAGTAAGAACAGATTTCTTCCATCCCTGAAGAAAGGTCCAGTGGTGATTGAGTAAGGTTAGTATGTTGTCCAGCACTCAGCTGCAGGAATGGTCGGAATTCTGTAAATCTAAACCAGCAACGGTCAGTCGTTTACCCAGTGCGTGCGATAGTGTCAAGAGCCTCTCGTGCTGTGCTAACTCCCGTCTTTTGCAGGTTATGCCCCGGTGACAGGAATGTGCCATCCTGTCCGTAGCTGCACCCTGAACCACGAAGACGGGTTTTCTTCGGCATTTGTTGTTGCTCACGAAACTGGACACGTGTGAGTATTACAGTGTCCAAAAACACAGTACCACAGTGAAGCCAGTGTTAACACTCTCAAACTTGCCCGCGTCCAATAGTTCAGTGTAACAATCAGCCCAGGAGCGCTATGTCAAATGCAAGGATTATTATTATTATTATACAACTGTCTGTAAAAAGAATCTATGCCTTTTTAATGCAAATCAAACAGGACTTAACAGTGACTTAACTGACGATTTTTATTGATGGCATTTTATGCTATTTTATCAGGACATTTAAAATCCTCCTAAATTACACTAAGGCAATCCCCACTGTGGATAGATCAACAGGAAGTCTGTAAATGCTGTGTAAAGCGCACTAAGTACACAAGAGGACTCCTCTGAAATGATTCCCCCTCCAACCTCCAATTGAAATGAATCTGGCTACTCATCACCTTGTTAATAAACCACCTTGCCGACTCACGATAGCTGTTGTGATTGCCCGTGTAACATTCACCCCGTTACAATAACTCTAAACCTTTGTCCTCTTGTTCTACTGCCTCGGTGCATTCTAAAGTATGGTTTTGGGTTTACATTTTCAATCTTATACACCTCTATAAGGTCTCCTCTGAGTCATCTTGGAGTCCTGTAGCTCAGTGGTTAGAGCACTCACTTTGCAAGCGAGAGACCTGAGTTCATTTCCAGGCAGAGGGCGAAACCTTGGGCAAGTTTCCTTACTCCACACAGAGCCTAATAATAATCCCTCCAAAACCAAAAACAATAATAAATTGGTCATTTTCAATCTACGATTGTTTGTGGGACATTGCTGTGCGCAATTGGCTGCCGCGTTCGCCCACAAATATACAGTCAATTCACTTTACTGTGTGTTCTGTGAAGCGCTTTGGGACGTCCTCCCGACGTGAAAAGTGCTATATCAAATGCAAGGATTATTATTATTATTATTATTATTATTATTACAATCGGTTACACTTTACAAAGAGCCTCTGGGCATTAATTTATATGTGAAAGGCGCTGACTGAGTGCGAGCTGCCACTGTTATCATTATTCTCCGCTGCTGTCATGAGGCCAGAATAAGCCACAGACGACAATGGAAAACACATTAAAATGAAATGTACAAATCTGAGATCCGAAGGGAACAATGTCCTGAGTCATGTTTTATTGCCGTGCTTAGGATTGCCCGCCACCCCCATCACAGAATGGATTGATTTCAAGATCCTCTCACTCGTCTACAAATCACTTCATCCCCTGGCAATTCCCTAGGTTTCTTATTATTTTCTCCCCACTCCACTACCTGCTGCCTCTGCTTGGCTAACTCCGGTCTCCTACTTGTCCCTTGTGCCCTCCACTCCACCATCAGTGACAGCGGTTTCAAGCACTACGCCCTGAAGTTTTGGAACTCTCTTCCCCCAGTCCCTCGGCCGTTCCCCCTCCTTTTGAACTCCCTCCTTTGCCTCTTTGACTGTGCTTACTTCCCTCCCTCAACGTCAGGCTCTGCTAATGTTAAGTGCTCCGAGACTGCGTGACTGGCAATATATATAAACACAAGTTGTGATTTTGTGGGCAATGGTTGTGTTGAGCAAAATCACAGTGAAGTCCTGCTATTTTTTGTTGTTTCCTCCCTACCTCCCCCCTTGTTTCACTCACCCACCCCCTGTCATACCTTGCCTCTCCCCCGATTATTAGGTTAGGCATGGAACACGATGGACAAGGAAACCACTGTGAAGATGAGATAAAGATGGGCAGCATCATGGCTCCATTGGTCCAGGCTGCTTTCCATCGCTTCCACTGGTCTCGTTGCAGCCAACAGGACCTGAGCCGTTACCTGCAGTAAGTAGTGACAGTTACATCATGTCTCCTTGTGAACTCACCGGCGCTGGCCAACAATGCATCCCACCTAGTCCTAGCCGTTGACACCAATGTGACCAGCTTCTTAAATTCTTAAGTGTGTATGTGTGTGTGTGCGTGAGTGTATATGTGTAACAGCTTGTGTGTGAGACTGTGCACATGGATGCGTAACATGGTCTTAATTTGCCAAGAGACTTTTTTGGGGTTGGGGGGTGAGGGTTGGGATGTGGACGCTCTGCCCCCGGTGTGAAGGGCACTATACAAACACAAGTTGCTGTTGTATTGTTTAAGAACTGCGGAAAAGCCGTGAGTGTGAGGGGTGCTCAGCTACGCCATCCGGCGTCCCAGCATCATGTTATGTCTTTCTCAAGGATTCTGGTACCTATTGCTGTTCAAACTGTGACAGCCACTTCCCCCTTCCCCCACCCCTCCCCTTCCCCTCTCTTCTCCTTTGCTTTGGGGTGAAGCACTCCGAGACGTTAAGTTTTATTTGCTGTGTCGCCTGATGTTGCTATCTCAGCCCCCATTGAATCAGCTGAACTCACCTGCCTCAAATCTGGCCTAACGGTCTACCGACAAATCTGGCTGGACCTCCTCAAAATCTACCGCTCCACTCTAGCCTCAGCCAAGTCGTCCTTCTACTCCAGGATAATCCTGGAGGCGAAGAACAATCCCAAGCTTCTGTTCTCTACCACATCCCGACTCCTCCGTCACCCCCGCCACCCCGTGCAGGTCATCTCCTCCAACCTTCACTGCGAGGAGATGCTGGATTTCCTTGAATCCAAAATCAAGGGAATCCGCTCGGCAGTCACTCCCCCTCCAATTTCCACCCACCCCTTCCCTCCCGCACTCCGACTCCTACCCATCCTCCCCTAAACTCATTCTGTCCTTGAAACCCACCACCTGCTCCCTGGACCCCATCCCCACTCCACTCCTTATCCCCCAGCTCCACCTCCTTGCCCCACTTCTCACAGACATCATCAACCTGTCCCTCTCCTCTGGCTCTGTTCCCATTCCCCTAAAAACTGCCACCATCACTCCCACTTTGAAAAAACCCTCCCTTGATGCGTCGCAGCTATCAAGCTACCGGCCCATCTCCAACCTCCCCTTCCTGTCCAAGGTTCTTGAAAGAGTTGTCGCCTCCCAGCTGCGCTCTTTCCTCTCCACCCATTCATTATTCGAACCCCTTCAGTCGGGTTTCCGTGCTGCCCATAGCACAGAAACTGCCCTGGTCAAGGTCACCAATGACATCCTGACCATCTGCGACCAGGGCTCCCTCTGCCTCCTCGTCCTCCTCGACCTATCGGCCGCATTCGATACGGTCGACCACGCTATCCTCCTCCACCGCTTGTCCTCCCACCTCAACCTTCAAGGCCCTGTCCTTGAGTGGTTTAGGTCGTACCTCTCCCACCGTCTTCATTTTGTTTCCACAAACGGCTTTTCCTCCGGCCCCCGCACTGTCTCGTGCGGTGTCCCTCAGGGCTCTGTCCTCGGTCCCCTCCTCTTCACCCTCTATATGCTCCCCCTTGGTGACATCATCCGCAGACATGGGGTTAACTTCCACATGTATGCGGATGACACCCAACTCTACCTTTCCTCCTCTACCCTCAACTCCACGACCACCGATGTCCTGACAGCTGCCTGTCCGACATCGAGTCCTGGACGAGAGACAACTTTCTTCAGCTCAACGTGCGCAAAACTGAGGCCCTCCTGATTGGCTCACGTCAGCGCCTCCGCACCTCAGGCACTGACACCATCAGCATCCAAGGCTGCACTCTCCACCTCTCAAAGCCAGTCAGGAACCTCGGGGTTCTGACCCTGAGCTGTCCTTTCTTCCTCATATCCGCGCCACAACTGGCACCGCCTTCCATCACCTCCGAAACATCGCCAGACTACGGCACTACCTCACCCCTCACGCTGCTGAAACCCTGGTCCACGCCTTTATCACCTCAAGGCTGGACTATGGGAACTCTCTCCTCGCCGGCCTTCCCGGCACCTCCCTCCACAAGCTGCAGGTCATTCAGAACTCTGCAGCTCGTGTACTGTCCCGCACCAGGCTTCGCGACCACATCACTCCCACCCTCGCTCGCCTCCACTGGCTCCCCATCCCCCAGAGGATCGAATTCAAGATCCTCATCCTCACCTACAAGGCCATTCACGGCCTTGCTCCCTCCTACCTCTCCGACCTACTATCCCCTACTTACCTGCCCGTACCCTCCGTTCCTCTGGCTCCGGTCTGCTCCACATCCCCCGCCCCAACCGCCTTACCATCGGTGGTCGGGCCTTCAGCCTCTCAGCCCCGAAGCTCTGGAACTCCATCTCCCAGTGCCTTCGCTGCTTCCTCCCTTTCCTCCTTCAAGGCCGGTCTCAAGACCTTTCTCTTTGACCGAGCCTTCAGCTCCCCTCTCGACTCTCTACCCCCTCCTCGCTCCCTCCCTTCCCTCCCCTCACCCTGACCATTTCCCCCCCTGCTCGGGTCCTGACCCAACTGTCCAGCGCCTTGGGACGTCCTCCCGACGTGAAAGGCGCTCAATAAGTGAAATCTTGTTGTTGTTGTAGCACGGATTCCGTAGCAGTGACTTTAATCCATAATTTCCCTGTAATTAAGCAATTTCGGATGCTTTGTTTTCCCACATGGATAAGTAGAAAAGGCTGTTCATTATCGGAAGAGCTCAGGGGCTGGTCAAACACTGCTGCCAAATGTGCTTCTTGGATGCACGCCAGGCTCCACATCCTCATGGTGTGATCTTGAGAATAAAACCTTTTCCTTCTGCAGTTTCTTGCTCTCTTTTCCCTGTGCTAAAGTCTGTCAACAGTTTATTAAAACGTTGTAGCTTTGTTTGTTAATGGGTTTGTGTTCACGCGTGACGCAGTATGTACGTGTGCGTGTAATGTCACGGGGTGTGTCTGTTTGAGACATGGAGTGTTGTGTGAAGTGCATGCATGACATGGGGAGGTGTACATGTGTGCCATTGTATGCATGTGTCTGTGTGCGAGTGAGATATGGTGTGCATATGTGACACAGTGTGTGTGAGACATGGTGTGCTGTGTTAGTGTTTAGGTGCACATATGTGTGTGTGTGTGTGTGTATATGTGTGAGACATGGTTTGTGTGTGTGTTGTATGGTGTGCATTCGTGACATGGAGTGCTGTATGTACACGAGACTCGGTGTGTGTGTTTGCGTGTGCATGTGACACTGCGTGCATGACAGGGTGTGCGTGTATGTGTGACACAGTACGTGTGAGCGGTGTAGTTGCATGTGACAGGGTGTGTGTGCACATTCCCAGGAAAAATGTGCCATTGCAATGGGCCTCATCACCACCAGCCTGGAAAAACAACGGGGAGTAGAACAAACAGCAGTGCCCAGAGGCTAGCATGCTGACAAGCAGTGAGGGGTAACAAGTCCTGGTAACCAGCTGACAGCGATCCCTAACAGAAAGCAAACAGAACCCGCTGGTAGCGGCAGCAGCAGGCAGGGCAAAGTGGCAAAACAAGGCAGTAACACTAGCAGCTACATTCCGTGTGAAAGTCGCAAAGTTATGTGTTGACAAACTCAAGACAAGACTGAAATTTCTAATTGACTCGTTCGATTAAAGAGAAGGGCCCCTTGCTCTCTGTACGCAAACTTGTCGACACTGTTAAAGGCTGAGATACGTGTTTAAAAAAAGAGAGTGGCAGAGTTGGATAGCTCAGGTGCAGTCCCAGGTTTATTTACCTCTGGACTACAACACCTACTGCCTCCCACCCCACACACACTACGACCATTACTCAAATCCTTCTCTTCACCCCCACCACTATAGTTCTGAGTGCTCTGAGACACTGCCCCATGTGAAGGACGCTGTATAAATTCAAGTTGTTGTTGTTGTTGTAGTTCGTACGATTGTCTCCGTGACGACCCATTTGAGCACGATTGGCCTCTACTCCCCCAGCTTCCAGGAATCAATTACTCCATGAACGAGCAGTGTCGCTTTGACTTCGGGATGGGCTACATGATGTGCACAGCGGTAAGTGTTGCGGAAGAGACCCTTTTCGGAGGGCACGGGGCGCTCAATTTCAGAATAGATGTAAATTACACAAGGATTGACAAGGATAATAGAACTAATAATCCTTGCATTTGATATAGCACCTTGCCATGTCGTTGAGACGTCTCAATGCGCTTCACAGAATATACTGTAAACTGAATTGACTATGTATTTTGTGGGCGAAACATGGCAGCCAGTTGCACACAGCAGTGTCCCACAAACAGACATGGATTGAGTGACCACATTTTTTTTGTTTTTGACGATTATTCCCCCCAGAAAGCGATCTGCCAGTTGACTAAAAACTGGGCTCCTACTGGGTGCTACGTAAACAGAGGCATGTGGAGTAAGGAAACTTGTCAAACATTTCACTCTGCCTGGGAATTGAACCGGAGCCCCTCGCTTGTGAGGCGAGTGTGCTTAACCACTACGCTTTGGTTGGGTGGGCAGGATGGGTGGCTGGCAGGGAGGAGGGGTGGGAAAGGAGGGGGCCAGGAGAGGGAGAGGGAGGCGGAGGAGACGTGAAGCAAGAGCCACAAACTAGTCTGATTTCCTTGGCCGAGGAGGGAGAGAGAGGTCAGGCAGAATGTTTCTCCAGACGTTGTCAGCTGTGAGCTGGTTCTTGGGAGCCACGCAGTGTCCTGGAATACGTCTCTATCTGGAGGCTTCTAATCTGAGTGTTTGGATTAGTGAAATAGCAGCGGCCTTCTGTAACGCGCCTGAATTGTGTGATCCCACAGCTCTTGCAGGAAATTGACAACATATGTTGGCTGCCGGTTTTAACTCTTAACAGTGCCACAGTCATATTTGCTCACTGAGTGTCGATAGGGCTACAGAGGCTGCCAGCGGACACAATTAATGACAGTCATTCTCTGGGTTTTGATGGGTACGCCAGAGGTTAACCCTTGACCCTACTTTGGGGTCATGAGTGCTGATATTGAATGCCCATGTGTAGTTGGGATGCATGAAATTCGCAGTTTGGTTTGGAGACTCTTAAGAACGGTGATGGGTTTCTGCATGTGTCAGGCACCCGGCTGACACTCCCAAACAATTGATATTTGCACAAGTTATCGGATCTGACCGGTAACCAGAAAGCGGAATCACATCGAACGCAAGCGATCTCGGCTCGGACACTGACCAGAAATGGATCACATCAGAATGTTCAATCTTCCAAATCTAGCCTTTGTATGTAAACCATGTTTTTTTTTCAATTCATTTGCTCCCACTTCCTTGAAGGGAAAATGAAGGGACAGGAAATGGAATCGAGAGGTGACTGACTCATTGTGGCAACAATGTCAGATAGGTATAATAGTCAGACTCAGCAGAACAATTGGGCAGTCAGAATAGGAGAGATAGAGAATCGAGAGTGGGCAAGGGGAAGAGCCACAGAAACTTTGATCATGTTGAAATTGTTTCTGTTATTACTTAGATAATAATAATAGTAATAATCCTTGCATTTGATATAGCACCTTATCACGTCATTGAGACAGCTCAAAGCACTGCATAGAATATCCCACAAATACAGTTGCCACATACTGTGGAGCATTTTAAAATGTTTTGTCGTGAAAAGGTGCTAAATTAAATGCAAACATTATTGTTAAATAGGTGAATCGTCCCTGGATTTGATGACTTGATGTGGCTCGCTTCACATCGGGAGAATGAATCAAAGCATTTCACGGGATTTAGTGTAAAGTGTTACGACTGTATATTGTGCTGATGAACAATTGACCTATATTATCAGTGTAGGGTTAATACAGTAATGCATCCATTGAGTTGCTTTGAATCTGAGGAGAATTAGTTCAAAAAACAGCACATGAACTAAAACAAAAACAATTGGGGGTTGGGATCAGGAGAGGTGGAGGGCAGGGAGTATGGGGTAGGAGGTTGACCAAGAGCACGGTTGAAGAGGAGGGTCTTGAGACGGACCTTGAAGGAGGCAAGGGTGGAGGCGAGGCAAAGGGACTGTGGGATGGAGTTCCAAAGGGTGAGGGCAGCGAGGCTGAAGGCCCGACCGCCGATGCTGGGGATGACGGGAATCTCTGTGGATGTGCCAGCATTCTAATGGTTAAGGAATATTCAAGGTGGGATATTTGGAATTTCTTTCTTTCAGTGCTCAGTATTCTCTGCAATGTACAGAGCTCCTCGCATTGCCTCTCATAACATCTGGAACAGATACTTTAGGAATTTCCTGTGCTGAATAGCAGAGTGTTACAGAATCAGTAGAAAACGCATAACTGTAATTGTTATGCAAAGTGTTTCTTTGAAAAAGCAAACGCTGTTTCGTTCTGATGCAACTGTGCTTTAAAGGTGTTAAAAGAAACATGTATATAATTTGAAGTTCCAATGTTATTTTTATGTTTAAATATTCCACTCAAACTTGGCCCCAGAAACGCGGTGTGGGGCTGTTATGACACGGCGCTATGTAATAGCATTTGATTTGTTCATAACACAAACATGATGTGGACCCCATTCGCTGCACATGTGCTCCGTTCAGTTCGCTTCCCACCTGCCGGCGCTGGCACCCCCAGCGAAACAAAATGGCTGACTGTCAGGTCACCGGCGACCTCACTTCCTGCGACGGCCATTCACAGCACACAGGAAGTGATGTCCACGCCGATCGGTGCACAGGAAGCGAGCAAAGTGCTTGGAACACATGACCTTCACTCTAAGGAGATGTGTTTCGGAGGTTTTTTTTTCTGTCTTAGAGAAGCACATAAAGTTTATTAAATCCCTGTGAGCTGAGTAACCCCTTTTAGCTGGTGAGCATATAACACACCCAACCATTGTTGAATTCAGATGTTTTATTACTTTCTGTCAACGAGCCATTTGCTGCTACTATTTATCTAATATCCATTTACAGATGAACTGATTGAAGCCAGTTGACAGGAGGGTTTCGTTGGCAGGGAATAAACTTAATAACAGGCGAAAACTACAGGATCGCACAGCGAGTTGCCATCCTTTTCCATGTAATGTGAACCGTTTCCATTGGGGACACAGAGCCCAACGCCCAGTCATACATTGTATTGCAGGAGCAGAAAAGGTAGTTGTACATTCAAGAAGGGCTGCAGGGCTGTTCCGAGCAACCTTAGTCCTAATTGTAATTGGAAAACTAATGTTAATTTATTATTAATTATTATTATTAATATTAAAGTTATTAAAATCCCCCAAAATAGCCAAAAATGACAGTTACCAGAGATTAAGAAGCAGTGGACATTGCCTGACCAGAGGTTGGCATCGCTGACTAACAGCTGGAGGCCACTTGTCATCATCTGCCTTGATTTCCGAAAGGCCTCTCAGTGGGGTTAAACTGCAGGAACTGAATTAGGATCATCTTTACAACAACAAATTGCATTTATATTGCGCCCTTCACGTGGAGTAGAGTCCCCGAGTGCTTCACAATGGCTGAGTCTGACAATGAGCCAACTAGTTCTTTAAAAGAACCGGCACAGACATGATGGGCTGAATAACCTACTTCTGCGCTGTAACTTGCTATGGTTATTACGGTGCCTCAGTTTCTATCCAAACCAACAAGGTTCACGCTGAAATCGACTAACGATGCTCTTCAGAGCTGTCACTTTGGAATTTTTTAAAAATCTGCTTGTTAGTTTAAGTTCACTGCAGTAAATCTGCTGCCACTGTTTTGTTTCCTATTCTGGAAGTTTGGGTATTTAAGTATCTGTGGATTGTGAATTTATGGATTTCACTTCCTGACTGTTTGCAGGACGTCACTGTGCAAAAATCGGCTGTTGGCTTTGTCTTCAAAACACACAGTCATTGAACTCCACAGAAAATCCCGTGAAGCGCTTAGAGATGTCCTCCCTATGTAACAGGCACTGTATCAAATGCAAGGATTATTAATATTAATATTGATAATAAAATGAATAGCTAGAGGTACGAAGTGCTGTGCGGTGTAGAACTAATCATCTTTACATGAGAGAATCTGTGTACGGTGCTTGGTGTGGTGATTGTTAACGAAATGAGAAAGAACAGTGAATGAAATCTGCTGTGTGTGTCCCTTGGGGTTTCAGTTCAGGACTTTTGACCCCTGTAAGCAGTTGTGGTGCAGCCATCCTGACAACCCATATTTCTGCAAGACGAAGAAAGGACCTCCACTTGATGGGACAATGTGTGCTCCTGGCAAGGTTTGTGTGGTCACATACATAAAACAAGATGCTTCACTTTATCATTAACAGATCCACTTCCTATTTAAGAATAATTATGTTTTTCTCCTGATAAAAAGTATGTTTTTACTCCAAAGTCATCCTGGAGGCAAACAACAATCCAAAGACGGTGTTTTCCACCGTCCATCACGTCCGTCATGTACCCCCTCAAGCCCCCTCTATCCTCATGTCAAATGCCAAGTGCGAAGAGGTCCTAGACTTCTTTGCCTCAAAAATGTGATAAAATCTGCTTGGCTGTATTGTCCTCCCCCACCATGTCCCCTTCAACCCCACCCAGACCATCCACACAGCCTTCTCCCTCTGCCACGGCTCCAGCCACTGCCCCCTCCTTATGCTCCTTTGCCCCCATTTCTCCCTCCCTCTCAACCAAAATTACCCAGATGAAGTTCACCACCTGTTACCTTGACCCCCCTCCCCACCCAGCTGCTGGTCACTCACCTCGCCCTTCTCTTCCCCCTGCTGGCCGACACGGTCAAACAGTCTCTCTCCTCAGGCTTGTTCCACTCTCCCTGAAAACCACTCCTCAAAAAACCCACCCTCGATCCCTCTAATCTCACACACTACAGTCCCATCTTCAACCAACCCTTCCTTGCCAAAGTCCTGGAATGCATTGTTGCAGATCAACTTCGGTCACACCTCTCCCTCCACTCCCTCCTCGAGCCCCTGCAGTCTGGTTTTCATCCACAGCACAGAGACAGCGCTTGTCAAAGTTACAAACAACATTCTCTCTATCTGTGACCAGGGCTCTCTCTGCCTCCTCATCCTCATGGATCTCTTTGCCGCGTTCGACGCAGTCGACCACGCCATCCTCCTCCATTGGCTCACCAGTTCTGGCCAGGCTCCACTGGCTCCCCATCACTGAACAGATCGACTTCAAGATCCTCACTCTCGTGTTCAAGTCCATTCACTCCCTGGCACCTCTCCGACCTTCTCACTCACCAATCCACCACCCAGTGCCTCTGCTCGACTGACACTGACCTCCTACTCGTCCCTCGCACCCTCCGCCCCACCATTAGAAGTTGTGCCTTCAGCCACTACACCCCAAAACTCTGGAACACATTCCCTCAATCCCTCCGCCTTGCCCCCTCTCTCCCCTCTTTCAAGTCCTGCCTGAAAACTTTTCTGTTCGACGGTACTTATGGCCATCTTGCTCCTCCCCCCGGCTCGGAGTCAGGCTCCACCGCTGTTAAGCGCTCTTAGACGCTACCCTGCATAAGTTGTTGTTGTTTATAGAGCACACACACACACACACTCACACAAGCATATACATCAGACGCACACATGCACATACACCACACACCCACATATACACATGCACTCAAGGGTTCCTGCAGGGGTGAGGGGTGAACTTAGAAGGGGATGAATGATGGGCCACTCATGTTTTGGAACAGAGAAACAAACCTTTCACACATTCCCAATTCTCCAGGGTGAATTGAAACATCTGCACCGCACCCTGCATGGTGCCTTTTCGGTCGTTACCCCAAGCACTCATATCCTTGACCTCAACAGGAACCTAACTTACTAGAAGATCTGATAGTCGGTCATCTGGTCTAAACTTGCCAACCCTCGAGTTCTGTTGCAAGTATTGTGGAGACTGGTGGAGTTTGTTAAAACCATGTTACAGACATGAAACTATGGGCACAGATACTCTAGAATTGGCTCTAGAATTTGTTCAGTGCTTTACAATTTGTAAGAGTTTGGAATTATTACTTGATCCTTTCATTCTTTGGTCCTGAGTCAAATCGAATTCATGTACTCTGGAGGAAAACCAAGCACATCTCTTGGCAACAGCACAGCTGTTGTGAGGAATACTCCTTAAAACTTAGTTCATTGTAGAACATTGAGCATTTGTTTTCAAGTGATGGAGCCTCAGAGAAAAGCCTTTCACAAAATTACAAGATCTTTGGCCCATCTGATCTCAAACCTTCAGAATAGCTGTTCCTACCTCCCTCCCATCGCTGTGTGCCATGATAGGGCTACAAACTCATTCCCAATGACTCACATTTTTTTTCCACATCGACAAAGTTTGAAACATTTGTGGAGATTAATAGTTGCTCCACCTACTTTGGCAACAAGGGCAATCTAATGAGAAGAAAGTATATTTTTTTTGTACTGAGAAGTGGAGTAATATTTACAGGCTTGCTATAAATCACTTAAGTTTGTTCCTTTTCCCCCAGCATTGCTTTAAAGGTCACTGTATCTGGCTCACGCCCGACGTATTAAGACAGGACGGGAATTGGGGAGCGTGGAGCAACTTTGGCTCCTGTTCCCGAACTTGCGGAATTGGGGTGCAGTTTCGGACGCGCCAGTGCGATAACCCATTGTAAGTAAGTGCGGACGCAGAGAACATTCTCACCGTCAGCCTCTGTACAGCAATCCGAGATGCTGTTCCGGGTGAAGGGGAATGTATGAATGCAAGTTGCTTTTGTTGTTGAGGCAGATTCGCATGTGGTTTGACCTTGGTGTTGGTCAACCCATTTTTTCCGCACAAGTTGCCAGGTTTCGTTTTGACTTTAGAACGTTGACAAGACGGAAGCCATACACTTTGGCTCCCGTCAATATCTTCTCTCCTGCGGTTCAGACCTCCTCACCTCCCCGATCTCTCCTAGCACTCACGAACCCGTGAGCAACTTAGGATCAGTTCGATCCCCAGCTTTCCTTCCTACCCCACACCCGGTCCCTGGCCAGAACCTCCAGCTTCACCTTTGCCACATTGCCCTGGCCAGGTCTGCTTTCCTCCGTCTTTACCTCACTTCGAAAGCTGCTGAAACCCATGTCCACACCTTTGTCACCTCCCACCTCGACTAATCAAACATCCTCCTCGCTGGTCTCCCCTGCTCCACTATTCACAAAGTTCAACTAATTCAAAACTCCACCTCTCGCCTTCTTACCCGCACTAAACTCCGTGCCTCCATTACCCCAGTCCTTGTCAAACTTCATTGGCTCCGTGTCACAGAGTGGATCGACTTCAAGATCCTCACTCTTGTATTTAAATCCCTTCATGCCCTGACATCCCCCTATCTCTCCAACCTGCTCCCTACCCCACTACCCGCTACCTCTGTTTGACTGGCTCCGGCCTCCTCCTTGTCCCCTGGACCCTCTGCCCCACCATCAGCGGCCGTGCTTTCAGTCACTACTCTCCGAAGCTGTGGAACTCTCTCAATCCCTTCCCTCTCTCCCCATTTTCAGGTCACACTTGAAGACCTTCCTCTTCGACCTGAGGTCACCTTTCCCCTCACCCTGGCTCGGCATTGGGCTCCACCAGTGTTAAGCGCTCCGAGATGCCATCTGGCGTAAAGGGTGCTGTATAAATACAAATTGTTGTTGTTGTAAAACCCATGCTGATTAATCAATGGTTCATCTGAAGAGATCAATTCTTATTTTATATTGAAAAAAATTCAGCTGCTCAAGAGAAAGCTGTTTCGCTTTCAAGGGGGAACTAGACAGACATGGAAGCAGATTTGATAGTAGCTTTCAAAAGGGAAATGAATATGTACTTGAAAAGGAAAAATGTGCAGGGCTATGGGGTAAGAGCAGGGGAGTGGGACTAATTAGATAGCTCTTTCAAAGAAGGGGCACAGGCATGTTGGGCCAAATGGCCTCTTTCTGTGCTATAAGATTCTATGATTCTATATCTAAAACAGGAACTACTTGCAGTGGTAAGGAGGGAGGGAGCGAGAGGAGGGATGGGGAAAAGGCAGTGAAAGGGAGTGAGTAAGTTCTTTCAAATAGCCAGACCATGACCCAAATTTACCCGAGTAAATTTTTTTTACCTCTCTTGATTTTTCACCCATTTTTTGATGCTGCCCCAAAAAAAGACTTGGAAAAAAAAAAGCTGTTTTTTTTCCGTTTGATGTATGCAAAACGCCCCCCCACCCGGGATTATTTCCTGATTAATTAACGATCCGCTTCCTCTCCCCACCAGACCCTCAAATGGTGGGCGAAGCTGCTCTGGACAGAGCTATGAATATCAGCTGTGCAGCACTCAAGACTGCCCTGAACATTATGAGGACTTCAGAGAACAACAGTGCAGACAGTGGAACAGCAACTTTGAATATAAGAACAGCAAACACGAATGGCTCCCATACGAGCACAGTGATCGTAAGCAACCCGTGTGTTATTTTGTGTGCGGGGTGAGAGAGCATTGGGGGCATGAGTGTTGTTTGCATGTTATCTACCTGAGACATAGTGCCATGGGATCTTTAACGTCCACATGAACAGGCAGATGTAACCTTGGTTTAACGTCTCATCTGAAGGATGAAAGATCACAAGGTGGGTTCAGATGAAGAAGGCCCTTTGGGCCATCGGATCTCATCCTCCAGAACACCCACCCAACTGTCCCCCTCAGCACAGAATTGAGCTGCTTTTTAAGTGAGTCCTAATGTCCTGGCCTCCAATAACTTTTCTGACCTGTTTGTGTGCTGAAATTAAGCTAAGGAAATGTAAGCGCTTCGAGACCCTGCTCCGTGGTACGGTGTAAGTGGAAATTGTTGTTGTTGTTGTTATGTGACTCAGTGTAATATCTATTACCAGCCAAGCAGAGGTGTTACCTGACCTGTGAATCCAAGGAAATGCGAGAGATTGTGTACATGAAGAGAATGGTGCATGATGGAACACGCTGCTCCTACAATGAGCCCAATGGCATCTGCGTTCGAGGGGATTGTGTGGTGAGTGACAGGGGGGCGGGAGGGAAGGGCGAGGGGAAGAGCGGGGGAGATGGGGAGAGGAAGGGGGCGCAGAGTGGGGGCAAGGAAAGGATGGACCCTGCCCTCCCTGCCCTGCCCTTTTCAAGCAGCAGGTGGTGGGAGTGTGGAATTCACTCCTCGGGAGGTCATTGGCGGCAGAGTCATTTGAATCATTGAAAAGATAAATTAATAATAATAACAATACTTGCATATTATAACAATAATATTCACAGTATATTCTGTGAAGTGCTTTGAGACGTCTAGAAGACATGAAAAGCACTATATCAAATGCAAGGATTATTATTTGGATATAGCGCCTTATCATGTCGTTGAGTTGTCTCAAAGCACTTCACGGAATACAGTATAATATAATATACTATTGACTGTGTGTTTTGTGGGCGAAACATGCACAGTAGTGTCCCACATACAGGTGTGGATTAAATGACCAATTTTGTTTTTTTTGGAGGGATTATTACCCCTGGAAAACAATACACCAATCAATAACATCTGGGTTCTTACTTACTGCTAGGTAAACAGAGGCGTGTGGAGTAAGGAAACTTACCTATGTTTTTGTCCTGTCCAGCTGGGAATCGAACCTGGGTCCTCTCGCTTGCAAGGCGACCATGCTAACCAATACGTTACGGGACTCGTGATAGTTGATAAACTTGATAGACAGGGGTATGAAGAGATATAGAGAGGCCGGGGAGGTGCAATTGAGTTGTGAGTAACCCACAGTTGAGTTGTGACGGGACAGGCTCGATGGGCTGAATGGCCTTCTCCTGTTCCTGTGTTCCCAGGTTTGCTCCGAGGAGCAGCTCGGAAAGAACATTAGGAGATTATCATGGATTTTGAGAGCTGGTTCCATCTGGCTCCAGGCAACCTGATAAATGGATATTAATATCACAGATGCACAGCACCCTTTTGAAGATTGCCCGATATAAAAAAAATTGCTCTGTAGATAAGTGTTTTTTAAGCTGTTTCAGTTTTATTGCTTTAATGCCATGGCATCACTGAGAAGGTCACTTTTCATTTAAAAGCTGGGGTTGGAGGCTTTCAATCCTGATTCCTCCAGGTACCATCTGTTTCCACTGAGGTATCATCATTGTCACATTCGGCGTTGCACACTGTAGTATTGTCTGATTAAACTAAGACCCGATAGCAGCTCTCAGCCTCCCTGTGTTACTGTGTTTCACCACTGTCGAGACCCTGAGTTTGTTTCCAATATCAGCCCACTTTCCTTTTCAATGTTGCACAAAGGTACTCCGGAAGTGGATTAGATTCTGCCCAGTGCTCAATGACTTAATAATAATAATAAGCCTTGCATTTAATATAATGCCTTATCACGTCGTTGAGACGTCTCAAAGCGCTTCACAGTGGAGTGACTATGTAGTTTGTGGGCGAAATGACTTGCTCTCAGATGCCGAGAAAAATATACTATTATTAAGTGGCTTTAATCATTTAACTAAGCCATTTTATATTTAAGCTGTCATTTTTATTTGCATTTAGATAATAATAACAATAATAATCATACAATACAGTACCTTCACATCAGGAAGATGTCTCAAAGCACTTCACATGATTTACTGTGAAGTGTAGTAACTGTGATTTTGGATGCTAATTCAAAATAACCTCGAATTTCTTCACCTCTGATCCTGAGAGGAAATCTAGAGGCTATTTCAATATTGGCTCACAGCTCACAATATCTTAAATAAACTCGGGTTCCGTGTGAATGTAAAGCAGTGACCATCTCTTCAACAATAAATTTCTTTTTCTGCTTTCATCCTTTCTGCGGTCGCACTCTCTAGAACTCCATCGAAATACAGTCAATTCACTTTACAGTAAATTCTGTGAAGCATTTTGAGATGTCTTGACGACTTTATAAGGTGCTATATCAAATCAAGGATTATTATTATGATTATCCTTGAGACGCTCTGACTTGCTCACTCACTCGCTTCCTAATCTCTTTCAAGCCCTAACTCTTTGACCGCACTTTTGGTCATCATAAAATCAAAAAGATCTTTGAATTTTTCAGACAGTCGGCTGTGATAAGGTGCTCGGCTCCACCAAGGAGAAAGACAAATGTGGTGTCTGTGACGGGGACAATTCTCACTGCAAAGTGATCAAAGGCACATTTTCCAGAGCACCAAAAAAAGCAGGTGAGCCTTCCTTTACCAGTAAACATCAGAGGCTACAACAATAAACAACAACCAACAGCAAATTGTATTTATATAGCACCTTTCACGTGGGGAGGACATCCCAAGGTGCTGGACAAGTGAGAACACAGGCATGCAAATTGGCCAGCTCGTCTACAGTTCCATTCCTATCATTTGACAGTGAAATCTCCCTACAGTTTACAAAGTCAACAACAGCAAATTAGACTTGTATAGTGCCTTTCATGTCAGGAGGATGTCCCAAGGCGCTGGATAGCCGGGCTTGGACCCAAGCTGGAGGTTGGGATCAGGAGGGCTGGAGGGCAGACAGGGTGGGGGTAGGAGGGTGACCAAAGGCATGGTAGAAAAGGAGGGTCTTGATATGGACCTTCAAGGAACCAAGGGGGGGTGGGGGGGCGAGGCGAAAGAACTGTGTGATGGTGTTCCAAAGGGAGAGAGGCTGAAGGCCTGACTGCTGTTGGTTGGGGATCAACAACTTGCATTAATTGCACTGAAGGAAGGGGAGAGATTTTGTTTAGGTTGTCAAACTGTTTCAACCTGGTAACCTGTAAGAAAACAGACCCCCAGGGACTTTGTGATTTATTTGCTGTCTTGAGGATCAATTTTATTGCAACTTTTTCTATTCCGATGTAACTTTGCATTGGAGAGTTGTTAAAGTCTGCTACACTCCCAAAACTATTTTCCAGTCTAACCCAGTTCCTCCTTTGCTCTCCGATATCAAAGGCTATCTGAAGATGTTTGAGATTCCAGCTGGAGCAACTTATGTCAGTGTGCAAGAGACCAATGCTGCGCCTCATTATCTGGGTAAGCTTTTCTTACAATGTTCCTGTGACGCTTCTAATCACTAATACAATCCGTGGGTCTCTGAGTTCTTCTGCTTGATGTGGAGCAATCATTTTAATTGGCCTTGTGGTCTGTTCCCTTGAGATTAGAAGGTTATGGGGTGATCTGATTGAGGTATTTAAAATGATAAAGGGATTCGATAGGATAGCTGCAGAGAAACTGTTTCCTCTGGTGGGGAACCCAGAACAATGGAGAATAATCTTAAAATTAGATCTAGGCCATTTAGGAGTAAAATCAGGTACATTTTTTCACACCAGTGTTAGTGGCAATCTGGAATTCTCTCCTCCAAAAGGCTGTGGATGCTGGATCCATTGAAATTTTCAACACTGAGGTGGATAGGTTTTTGTTAGGTCAGGGTGTCAAGGAATATGGGGTTAAGGTGGGTATTTGGAGTTGAGGTACAGATCAGCCATGATCTAATAGAATAGCGGAACAGGCATGAGGGGCTGAATGGTCTACTCATGTTCTTGTGTTCCTATGTTTTAATGACTGGTACTCCTTAACTTGTTCCCCTTTAATTGGTGTAAGACCTGGTACACAATATCTTAAATAAACCTGTGTTCACTCCATTAAGGGGGTCACCCTGTTGGTGGAGTGGAGAGAAAGCTACATCTTACTGTCCTTGAGCTCGGAGTTGGAATCCAGGTCTGTGCTGAATTTGCTGGACACAGTTGAGGGTGTGTTTGAGGGAGGTTAAATTGCCCCTGGGCCTTTCCATGGTCAGCAAGGGCGAAACCAGCCAAGGTTCCTGCTCCTGTTCCCTCTACAGTGTCTGTTTATTGGTTATTACTGTGAATATGTGTATGTGAGGGCTGCCGGATGAGGAGAGGTCAGGCTGATCTGTTGCTCCCTCTACAGTCGAGTGACCTAATGCCAAGGATCGCACACAGACAACAGCCACTTTGGGGGGTGGGAGGGTAGTGGGGTTACAAGGTCTGTGGAATTGCACCCCAGTGTGAGGGGGTCAGGAGAAAAGCTTATGTCAATGGAAGGAAAAAAATAGAAAATAAATAGATGCTCTAAATTTCTTTGCATTAAACAAATGTTGGCAGTGAGGTCAAACATTCCACCGACCATAACAAGCAGAGTCAGGATGAATGGAGTTTCTACCCTAATCTGCTGTAATCACAACTGGAGCCCATCTATTGGCAGGAAATGTCTCACAGCTATTGTTCCTTTTCTTAGTGATCAAGAACCAAGCCACGGGCTATTTCATCCTGAATGGAGATGATGATATGCCGGAATCCAAGACGTTTATCGAGATGGGAGTGATCTGGGAGTATTCCAATGACAACGACAAGGAGTCCTTACACACGACTGGTCCCCTGCCGAACGGGATCGTGGTTCTGGTAAGATTTCACCTGAAATGCCTGGATTGCTATTTGTATACAGCAGAAAATTTATGTAGCATCTTTCACGTCAGAAGGATGTCCCAATCCCAAGGCATTGGACAGTGAAGAGTTTGTACCCGAACTGAGGGTTGAATCAAGAGAGGTGGAGGGTAGGGGGGAGTGAGAGGGTGACTGAAAGCATGATCAATAGTTCCTTTGAGGTCAAACTAATTTCTGTGAACATATACACCCCGCCCCCACTATCAGAGGTCACTCTTTGCTCCAGCACTGAGTCCCGCCCCATGGAACACGACAATGGGACGCAAACACCAGCCAGTTCTGCTCTGCGGCACTCAAGCAACTAATCTGCAATCTCAAAAGTATAATTTCATTTTGCATCTTTAATGTCATGTTATTAATAATTCAAAACGTGAGTTAGAGTTACTTATAAGTGCACTGAGACAAATTGCACAAATTGGATCAAACAAAGAAAGGTGGGGAGAAAAGGGGTTGGGGATGGGGACAGGGTGGGTTGGGGCAAGGAGAAGAGGTAAGAGAGTCTCCCTGGAGAAATTCCATCACATGTAGAATAATCGCCAACGGGAATCTGCTGAAGCGCTGATCTTGTGTCACTGGCTGCCAGGAAAGCATAACACAAGAAGGACATTTTGCTAAATTATTATTATTAAGCGGCATTTTGTCAGAACAATGTTCTCAGATACGCCAAGGCAGCAGGGAAAGAGGGCCCGGGTTCAGGGTGGTGAAGGGCACTTCTTGGAAGGACATTCAATGTAATAACAACAACAACAAATGACATTTATACAGTGCCTTTCACGTTGGGAGGATGTCCCAACGGCACTGGACAATCAAGAATTTGCACCCAAGCTGGGGCTTGGGATCAGGAGGGGTTGAGGGCAGGGAATGTGGGAGTAGAAAGGTGACTGAAGGCGTGGTCGAAGAGGAAGATCTTGACACAGGCCTTGAAGGAGGCAAGGGAGGGGAACGAGGCAAGGGGATTGTGGAATGGAGTTCAAAAGAATGGGGGCAGAAAGACTGTAGACCTGACCTCCGATTGTGGGGCGGGCAGGGTGGGAAGTGGAATGATAGGACCGAAAGGACGCCCGTCATTGTGGCTTATACACGTTCTCAATGCTTCTTTTGTCTCTGATCAGATGATCCCACATGGCAGCACCAAGTCTTCGCTCACTTACAAGTACACGATCCATGAGGATCTCCTGGCCACCATGACCAACGAGGTGCTTCAGGAGGATATGGCCACCTTCGAGTGGGCTTTGAAACGGTGGTCTCACTGCTCCAAGAACTGCGGAGGGGGTAAATCTCCATCATTACTCCTGTCGGTGGTGGGGTGGGGGGGCAGGGTGGGCAGGAGCGCTTCAGCCAATACACTTGAGAGTTTCTTATGATTAATAATAATAAATAAATTACAAAACACATAAGTTTACTTTAGACGACCAAAACATCTTGTCACTCAATCCATGACTGTTTGTGGGACACTGCTGTGCACAAGTGGCTGCCACATTTCGCCCGCAAATGTTTCAGATACCAGTTTGTACGGTGCTGTATTATGATATCTCTGTGCCCCAAGGCTACCAATTTACAAGATATGGCTGCCGCAGGAAGGCTGATGCCAAGATGGTTCATCGCAGTTTCTGTGATGCCAACAAGAAACCGAAGCCCATTCGGCGCATGTGTAACCTGCAGGAATGCTCCCAGCCCATGTAAGTCCTCTCTCAGTTCCTCCACAGCCTTGCCCCACACAACGACAACAACAACTTGCATTTATAACTTGCATTTATATAGCGCCCCCCATGCAGGGTAAATCTGAGAGTGCTGGACAGTGGCAGAGCATGACATCAAGCCGGGGGGAGGTGGGAGGTGACCATAAGCAAGGTTGAAGAAGAAGGTCTTCAGGTGCAACCTCAAGATGGCGAAAAAGAGGGCAATGGGGGAGGGATAGAGGAAGAGTGTTCAAGAGATTCATCTGAAAGCGCGGCCACCGATGGTGGAACGGAGGGCGCAAAGGACATGCAGGAGGCTGGAGTCATTCGAGCAGAGGCAGTGGTTAGTGGGTTGGAGAGTAAGCAAAACACAAAATACTGCAGATGCTGGAACCTGAAACAAAAACAGAGAGAGCTGGGAAAACTCAGCAGGTCAGGCAGCATCTATGGAGAAAGGAAAGTGAGTCAACTTTTCGGGTCCACGACCCTTCAGCAGTTCTGACGAAGGACCGTAGACCCGAAACGTTGACTCGCTTTCCTTTCTCCATAGATGCTGCCTGACCTGCTGAGTGTTCCCAGCTCTCTCTGTTTTTGGATAGTAAGCAGGTTGGAGAGGTAGGGAGTTGCCATTGCATGAAGGAATTTCCTCTGTGACTTCCCACAATCTCACCTCCCCGATTGCCCCCTCCACTCAGTGAATACCAAGTCCCGCGCCAAACCCAACTCACTATTGATGAGCGAGATTTCAGCCCATCTGCCCACTGCTCTCTAGCCCTTGCAAGGATAAATGGAAAATGTGTGAAATTGTTGACTTCGGGCTTAAACTTAAAGGAAAGTGGGTTTCTTGTAAGTTCGTGGCAAAAAAAAATAAAGCGGCTTTGAAATTAAGGTGTTATTTGAGAAGTTGCCAAATGATCGAGACCTCAGTAGAATTTTCCTATCAGTGTTCCTCAGGTTGGAAAGGTTTTGCTCAATGACGCAAGAGATGTTCTGGCTCTGAGTCCGTCCCCCCACACACAGTGTAAACGGGTGAGAGAACTGATCTTTAAGCAGGTTTTATGTTGTAGATGGATAGCGGCCGACTGGGAGCCGTGCACCAAGTCCTGCGGCAAGTCAGGCTACGAGATGCGTAGCGTACGCTGTGTTCAGCCTCTCCATGACGGCACCAACCGCTCCGTGCACAGCAAGTACTGTAACGGCGACCGGCCGGAGACCAGGAGACCCTGCAATCGAGAACTGTGCCCTGCCCTGTGGAGAATAGGACCCTGGTCACAGGTAAGATAAAGGTATTGGGGGGATTTGGGGTGGGTTTGGGGGGAGCTGGATGGACGGATCTTTCCTCTGAAAGTTCAGATGGTGAGCTGCCCAAAAAACAATCTCCCAGATAAATTGCCCATTGATCCTACTATTGTGTTTATTGAACTACGCTTTGCACAAATTGGTCACCTACAAACTACACACACGCAACAATTTGTGGAGTCCCGTAGCGTAGAGGTTAGTGCGCTCGTCGCACAGGTGAGAGGACCTGGGTTCGATTCCTGTCAGGGGGAAACCTCAGGCACGTTTCCTTGCTCCATAAGCCTCTGTTTACCTAGCAGTAAGTAGGAATCTGGTTGTATTCTGGGATAATAATCCCTCCACCAAAAAATAATAATTTTCTCACTCAATCCACAACTGTTTGTGGGACACTGCTGTGCGCAATTGGCTGTCATGGGATTTTTCCAGGATTGGAATTTTCATCCTGTAAATGCCCTAAAAGATCTAGCGCTGCGGAGCTCTGTGAGACATCCTCCTGCCATGAATGGTGCTGTGTCAAATGCAAGCATTATTATATTATTATTGTTGTCCTGTGTTTTAGTGTTCCGTCACCTGTGGAAACGGGACTCAGGAAAGGCAGACACTTTGTCGAACCAGGGATAACTCGATCGGCTTATGTAAGGATGAGAAGCCGGACACTGTGCGGATTTGCAGACTTCCGTCATGTAACAGTAAGTCACTGACTGATTTTGTTGGTCAGTCGGGTGTCTGACACATTTGGAAACCCATCACCATTCTTCAGAGTATCGAAACTAAACTGAGAATTCTATCCATTCCATCTATACATCTATACATGGAATCTCCAGAGGTAGATTGTTGGAATGGAATGCGCACTCCCTCCCTGGAGGGATGGATCCCACTTACCTAATTCCAGAAAGTATTAGGCGCAGGTTGACAAGAACCAAAGTCTAACCAGCTAAAACCTCATAGCTTACCATTGATATCAGCGCTTCCTGGGAACTTAACTATAGTTAATCCCTCCAAAACCAAAAACAATAATAAATTGGTCATTTTCAATCTACGACTGTTTGTGGGACATTGCTGTGCGCAATTGGCTGCCGCGTTCGCCCTCAATTCACTTTACAGTGTGTTCTGTGAAGCGCTTTAGGACGTTCTCCCGACGTGAAAAGCGCTATATCAAATGCAAGGATTATTATTATTATTATAGTTGTCATTTAATAATCATATAGCTTTTAACACAAGCCACACTTCAATCTAAATGTTGCATAGCTTGGAGCATTAATGATAATAATAACTAATAATATTTACATTTGGTACAAAGCCTTTCATGTCAGGAGGACGCCCCAATGCACTTTGCAGGATACACCATACACGAGATTTAACTACTTTGCTCGGATTGTTTGACCCAATTTGTCCAGAGCCCCGAGGCTCTGGAACTCTATCCCCCAGTACCTTCGCCTTGCCTCCTCCCTTTCCTCCTTCAAGGCCGGTCTCAAGACCTTTCTCTTTGACTGTGCCTTCCCTCTCGCTCCCTCCCTTCCCTCCCCTCACCCTGACCATTTCCCCCCACTGCTCGGGTCCTGACCCAACTGTACAGCGCCTTGGGACGTCCTCCCGACGTGAAAGGCGCTCTATAAATGGAATCTTGTTGTTTCTTTTTTCCCCAATTACCAACTCAACAGAGCCTTTAGGAGAACTTCTTCACTCAGAAGCTAGTGAGATTGTTGAACTCGCTACCTGAAGCGGTTGTTGAATCAGATAGTTTAGATACATTTAATAGGAAGCGAGACTTTCACCTGAGGGAGAGGGGAATCGAAGGGTGTGAGAGTGAGTAAGGAATGAATGGAGACTCGTGTGGAGTATAAACACTGGCACGGACTGATTGGGTTCAATAGTCTGTTTCCGTGCTGCACATTCTGTATAAATCTATAAGTTACACTGAATTATAATATTGGTTTAATGAAGTACAATCCCGATTACTTTGAAACAAATGGAAGATAAGAAATTAGTGTCTTTAGGTGCGTGTTGTGGTTTAAATCTTGGAATAGCTGAAAATGTGAAATAAAAAAAAACCTCTCCCTCAATTTTTTCTTTCAATTTTATCCATTTTTAATTGTAATAATAATAATTATTAAAAACATCTTTGTTTTGTCCTTCCCTCAGAAAACAACTCTGCGGAGACATCGCTCATTTCCACCAACGGGAAGTCTTTAATCCAGTGGCTCTCCCGGCCCGATCCCGAGTTTCCCATTCGGAAAGTCTCGACAAGTAAATCCCGTTATAACTCTGCTCCTGCCTTTGAATGCATGCGGTTTCTCACGTGGACTGTGCCCTTCTCCGTGACCTTTTCTCTGCGGGGTGCCTTTGTCTGATTAGCGGCTGCAACACGGTCTAACTCTCCTCCCGGGGCCCCAGTGCACGGTGGGTCTCTTCTGTAGAGCTTGTGCAACACTAAGTGTTGGAGATCCAAAGAGAGAGGCTTCACGTAGCAACGAGGAATGCTGTAGGCCTCCGAATCAACGGGAAGCGTCTCTGGCTTGTACGCACTTTGGTTTGCTTGGGAATACGTATGTAACGAAGGAGTGACTTCGATTTTTCTCCCCACTCCTCCCCTCCGTCCCTCCCTCCCTCCCTCCCTACCCCCTCTCTCTCGCTCGCGCCTCAGACGGAAACCGAGACAATTTATTGTGAATGGGATCACGTCTCAATAATGGCATCTTCTAACTGCTAATATTTCCAAAACGTTGTCGTTCTTTATGTCAAAAACAAATATTTCATAGAGTAGTTGACCTGGATGAATAGTAAACATAATCATTTCATTCTTCCTTTCCCTCAACCGTTGCCTTCCTCTCTCTCTCTTTCTCTCTCATAAAATGATAAATATAATTATAATGAATTTAATTATNAAAAATCTTATAGAATGGTGAAACAGGCTCAAGGGTCTGAATGGCCTACTCCTGTTCCTATGTTTTCTCTCTCTCTCTTCCTGTTTCCCTGCCTGTGTTGCTTTGGTGGGTATAACCCTTAGTTTGACATTTTGCTGTGCATTTCTACAGTGTAGAGTAAGGATTGATGGCTCAGAGAGTACGCTCATGATTTCATTTGTGTTTGTCACATGCTTAAATGATCTCATGTCCCATCGCTACATTGTCTGAAAGAAATGCCTTTTTTCACATGTGTTAATCTTGTGCCATGTGACTAAATCGTAATACTTCACGAAGATTCTTTTTTATTTTTGTTTAGAAAAATGCCTTTTGGTGAGATTTAATGTAAGTTTTTTTTTAAATTTGTCAAGTCATTTTGACGTACATTTCACCTATACACAGCGACAACAGGGCAGATTATGGCTGTTATCGTTACAAAGGAACCAACACTTGGGCAGCGAAAGAGCCATACTTTAATCGGAAAGTTAACTTAAGAAAGTTAACTTAACTGAAAAAAGTTAAGAAAGTTAACTTAACTCAAGAAAGTTAGGAAAGTTAACTTAAATTGAAAAACAAAATGAAGCACTTTATGGTTTGGTAAAAACAAATATTTAAGCTTGAATAGACAGAGGGGGAAATACAGACATCTGAGTCATTTTCATTTTAAATCATAAATTTCTTTTTTTATTAAGAAAAAAGCATTTCCAAACATGTCATTGTCATGTGATCACAAAGCAGCTTCTGTTGTGATTTTTTTAAATACAGTAGATCAGTGGACATTCACAAGAATGTGTGGTAAATATAAACAGGAAAGGATAAGCTATTGCAAGCTTATCTCTCGCTTGTGCGAGAGAGATCTGTTGCACTGACATTGTTGTATGCCTAACATATCGAGTGATTTTGACTGTGCAGATGTGCTTGACTGTTAGTTCTGTTATTACCTTAAAAAAAGGCTGAANTTTTTTAACTGGATTATTATGTTTTGAATTACTCCAATTCACCAGTGCAATAAGATATACCACAGTAACTGGCACAAGGTCTATTATGCACTTTGATTTTTTCAGGGATAATTTATTTGATATTTTGTAAACGTTTCATATAACTGTGAGGATGTACGTTTCTGTTGTTACCGACGGTCCACATTGAGTTTAAAGTTTTTTGGGGTAAAACTAGTGACCTTGATTACCAAGCTGTGTGAGTGACCATTTGTAAATTCTGACGTGTTTTCTTAACCAACAGAGAGATCTGGAAAACTGCTTTCCTCCAGTTTTGTCATTCCATTCTGCAAATAAATCAAATCCTGTGTCAAGAAATGAAACATTGTCTATTTTTTTTGTATACTCTCCCCCCTCCCACCCCTACCCCATCTTAGTGAAAACTAAGATCAAACTTACACGAGAGAGCTAGTCAGCTCATGAGCTCCTTTCAAATTATGGATGTCTTTGTTAAATGACACTAAATTTATCACAATAACCTGCATATTAAACTATTCCTGATAACTTAAGTGCACTTTTTAAGATTAGACCCGGCTCTCTCCTCCCCTTCACTTCCCCCATTAGTAGACTTCACAGATGTTTTACAATTTACCAATGGGACTTTACTGCTGAGGTTTTTTTTAAAACGCAAACACTCACATTTATTTTAAACGTTGTTCATTAAAAGGCAATTCTCTAAGCAAAGCAAATCTCTTTTGTTTCTCCGAGGAGACGGTTTAAGTGAAAGTTGTCTTTTTTGTTGCTTTTTAAACCGTTTTCGTTTTGAAAAAAATAATTTTTTGGTCCAAACTTTTTTTGGAAACAGAGTTGGGAGCAAATAAAGCACACGGCTGATCCCCTGAGCGATGTCTCTGACTGAGATGCCTCTGTGTGCTGTAACTGAAGGGATTGTCAATCATAGAAGAACCGCTAATTCATTTCCGAGATCAGTGTCTCACTGACTGGCGGCTTGCCCTTTTGTCTACATTGGAGCGCAGATAAATTTGTAATTCCGTTTAGTGATTTAGCAATTCCAAAAGTTACCAAGTTTAAAAACAAAGAAAATCAAGTTCACCAAAATATTTATTTCTGTTTTTTCGCATTAAAAGAAAAATATAAGATGCTTTTGAGACAAACAGACAGACAGAGACAGATGAAGAGATAGACAGACAGCTGGATGGACGGACAGAGAGATGAACAGCAGACGGACAGACAGGCGGACAGATTAAATGGCAACAATTTCTTACTAAAAATATTGTGTTCTTTTAACCTAATTCACTTCTTTTTCTCTATTAAAGTGAAGCACGGAATTCAATAAAACCTCTACTAACTAAAGCACTAACTTGTCCCAGCGAGAGAGTGTTGATCATTCTGTTTTACAGTTCTAATTGCTGTTTATTTCTCTCTCTCTCCCAATACTCTACACACAGAAGCCCACTGTCATGGGGACAAGTCCATATTCTGTCGTATGGACGTACTGGCTCGGTACTGCTCTATCCCTGGTTACAATAAGCTCTGCTGCAAGTATTGCAATTCGCTGGAGGAACAGCTGACGAGCAAAGGGAACGAGTCGGAGGGGCTTAAGCCCAGTAAACCAACCGTGTTGCCCACCCTACTCACCACATCCACCGTGGAGACCAGCACCGCCGTCTCTGGGTCAACGAACACCACTCAAGGGAGTGTGGAGAGAAACGCCGTGGACGACACGCACAAGCCACAAGACGTCAGGAACCGGAGAGTCCAACAGCACAAAATCCTCACCCCTATCCGGCCGAACATCGTGAGCAACCACAGACTGCAATTCCTGCTTGACCAGAAGAGGAAAGAGATGCTGGACAGTAACATGCACAAGAGGGTTTTATCAGTGAAGGAAAATAGCTTACCTCACGAGGAGATCTAAAAGATCACACAGTCAGGGGAGGAAATCGCAGAGATTCACCTTGTAAAAGCTGCTTCAAACTTGCCATGCGAAAAGCAACACCTTCAGTGCGAACTTTGTTTTAGCAGTGTTAATACATACACACATATATATAATATATGTGTGTGTGTAAAAAACACTACTAACTTTATTAACCAATAATTGTAAAATGTCAGTGCTTGGCACAACATGTCACATCGCTTCTCAAAGCTTCTTCTCACAACTCGTTAGCTCATAATAACCTGGTTTTACCACTAAACCTCCCTCTCTTTGTTAACTCATCGCTGCCACTATGTTATATTAACCATAATCTTTGCACTTTTTTTTTAAACCGCAGTAAACTATCTTGGAAGAATGGTGCTGAACATTCCTGTTATTACTGTGCCGGGCTACCTCGTGGATCCCAGTTTATCCCGGGAGTCAATTGCCCCCGAAAAAGCAGAGGGATTCCCAGGTCTAATCATCAGGTTTCTGTGTGGCGTCCGACTGACTGTCAGACTGGGTAGAAAACAGGTGCGTAAAGACGGGCTTTGCTTGGACAGTCAACGGAGCTTCCTTTCAGCCGCTGAATGTGAACAGCGTTGAACTGCGAATGAAAGCTGATAAACGCTTTACAGATGAAACACTTCACAGCGGAGTTAAGTGTTCTGAGACGCTTACTCTGCGTGAACGGTGCTATATAAATGCAAGTTGTTGTTGTTGTTGTTGATGATGGAAGAACCCAGGTTCTTCAAGGCTTACATGGAACAAAAGGTGCTAAACTTCATTTCTTTTGCACGTGCACAAAAATAAGCACAAAAGTCTGGAAACCTTCCCCCCCCCCAACCACCCCGCAAAAAAAAGGAATTGTTTGCAAACACGGCGACAAATAAAAATCTCGTCCCCTTTAAACAAACGAGTTTAAAGCCAGTGACTGGGAGCCAAGGCAACACTTTCCATTCCCTTTAGACGCTGCCCTGTGTGAAGGGCATTATATACAGACAAGTTGTTGTTGTTGCTTCACAGTCAAATGTTACTCCCAAAAACGTATGGTCGCTCCGAACCTTGGCTCGGCTCACTCTGTGACCCAGTATGTGGTGTCACACACACTCAACTGCCACTGCCTCCAGTCGAACCCTGTCTCGCTAACGTCTGTGTATAAATCTGTTCTGTTCAGCACAACTCTGCCATCAGCCGTTGCCTGATCAGCTTCCTGTGCGAGACTCCACGACCCGGAAGTGCTTACCCGGCGGCTATTTTTATAGCGCTTCATTATAACGCGCGGTGGGAGGGGGAGGGGGAGAGGGGGTGGTGCCAAAGGGGCTGATTTAACAAGATCCCTGACAGTAACTAATAACTGGCAACTAAACTCCAATACTTGCCCCCCCCCTCTTATTGCCAACAAGGGATTCATTCCCACCTCCTGTAAGCCATTGCGGTGATCCTGTCTGAGCACTTCCTGTTTGACTGTCAGTGACAAACCCCCCCCCTCCCCATTCAGGTGATCACCTAAACCCCCAAAGCACCCTCCTCACTCTTAGTTATCATTGCCGACCCCCAGGTAACGCTTTGTTTATTTTCAATGTAATTTGCGCTTGTGATTTCTTAGACAAACCACCAGCTCTGCATTAAGGGACAAGTGTCTTGTGAACGTTACAGTAACTGAGAATATTGCAGTCTTTTCCCATTGAGATTCAGTCGTTAGGAAGAATGATGTCCTGGGGGTTGGAATTTACACAGCAACTGGGAGTCTGTAGTCTATAGCAATCCCCCATCCCTCTCAGCAAGACTAAATGTCATGGCAACGGTACTGAGGCGAACACGTGTCACAGCGAATTTCGACACACTGCGACATTCACATACATGATGCCTCGGAGCACTACTGGAATATTGGCTTCTAACCAGGGTTGTCTTAACCGTGTACAAACGTGCGTGCAAACAGGGGATTATAGGCATCCTTATTCCCCAGTGATTACACGTGCACATGGTTAGCACAACTCGCAAACTGGACCCCATCGTCAGACCTGCCTCGAACAGGTTAGTTATCACCACCACTTGGGAGTGGGGAGAAAGGACAGGGGGAGGGGTGTGTGGTGGGGAGGAGGGGTTTGGGGGGTAGCAGAGCAAAAATAAAACGAGCAAGAAATGCATTCGATCATCAAAAATTGCTGAGAAAAAAATAACAGAATTGGTTACAGAGCCTAGGGACGTTCTCCCAATGTGAAAAGCGCTATACAAAAGTAATTTTGTTGTTGTTGTATACAAATTGTTGTTGTTATTGTAGCAAAATAATGGTAAGACAAGACCCAGAGAAAATGGGGAAGAGAATAGAGGAGAGCAGCTATGATTTTTAAAATCTTTTTGGTGCCTTTAATTGTCAAAGATGGACAGTCAATTCACTTTGCAATATATTCTGTGAAGCACTTTGAGACGTCTCGAAAACTTGGATCAGGCGCAATATCAAATGCAAGGATTATTATTTTTATTATTCATAGTCACGAGCCACTGAGTATATCAGAGTGGCTTTGTCAGTGGTATAATAAGGTTCCTCTCGTTGCTGAGTCTTCCTGCTTCTCTGTACCTGGTTTCTAACATGAGAGAGTTTACTTCCCTTCCCCACCCTCCGCAGGATCCTTTATACCATCAACAAACCACCGATGCAGTTTCACAGCCAAATAAATGCCTTGTTGTCCCTTTTTGGGGAGCAGTACTTATTCCTGGCGATAGGTGGAGACATCTTGATCAGTGCCAGATGTGTTGCTATAAAGTTCCAGTTGCCAAAGCCCAATTACATGTTAAAAATGACACGTTAAAAAACAACGGAATCTTTCACCACATCACGACAATGCATTTCGTGCTTACAGGGGCTTTGCCTCTCCCCCGGCTCGGGCTCCCAGCCAGCTGTGTGATGTCCACCTGACGTGAAAGGCGCTGTATTAAATGTCAAACTTGTTGCTGTCGTTGTTGTTGTGCTCTCAGCTTCATAAAGCTCTGGCTCATTCCGACCAGGATTTGGGGGAGAATACTTATCCTGTTCCCCAAAAAACCCGGTCAGAAGACAGATCCATAAAAATTTACACCAAGGAAGGAGGCCATTTGGCCCACGGACCCAGCAAATGATTGAAATGATTAAAAGTATTATTGTAGCATATTGTACACAGAAATGTAAGGCACGGTGCCTGACAATCAAAGGCTTTATCTTTGCTTCTCGTTGTACAGTAACTTTCCTCCCGCTCGCTCGCTGGTCTCTGTATGACATCTTCACTAATTACAATTGTACTCCAGCATCTCCATTGAAGAGTCTTTTTTGTACATGACCTGTATATAAGAGTTAGAACATTTATTTTAATATTTATTAAACTTTAAAATATTTGTGGCATTTGGACCCTCTTGTCTTAGAGCTGCAGCTGATTTGTGAACCGTCACGGTTTGATGTTACACTGTTTTGTGGCTCATTTCATTTCCATTTTTCTTCACCGTCCAATTTTGTTTTCCTTTTATCCTCGATACTCCGCGGTGATCACAGAATTTTCAGAGGTAAGCGGGTGTTACACACTGTTCCTTTGATGCCAATATGCCTACATAAAACCAATGTGAAGTCCTATAGTGTAGGGGTTAGTGCACTCATCTCGCAAGCGAGAGGACCCGGGTTCAATACCCTGATAGAGCGAAACCTTAGGCAAGTTTCCTTACTCCACACGCCTCTAGAATAAGAGTAGGAACCCGGTAGTTAGTTGATTGGTGAATCGCTTTCCTGGTGTAATAATCCCTTCAAAAAAATATTATTTTGGTCCTCAATCAAAGATCGATTGTAGGATATTGTTGTGTGCAACTTTGCCAACAAAATATACAGTCATTATACACTTTGCAGTATATTCTGTGAAGTGCTTTGAGACATCTCAACGATGTGATAAGGCGCAATATCAAATGCAAGGATTATTATTATTTGGTATCAACGTATCACAAGACCACAGAATTGGCTTGAATGAAGAAGGCCCCCTTGGTCTGTTTGATCTTTCAGAACATCTGGCCTCCTGTTCCGCCCCATCTCAGTATCCGGTTCTTAAATAACTGCCCCACCCAACCTTCCCGGTGACTCTGTTCCAGATGTTGATTACTTTAGGGCATAGGCACAGGAGTAGGCCATTCAGCCGCCAAATCCTGTTCCGCTATTCTATTAGAAAATGGAAAATGTAAACTGGATTTATTATTTCTTTTGCAAATACACATTCGGCCAATACTTTCTGTGTACAGAAATACTTTGTGATGTCTGCCCTCCACACCTCTGAACCTGTAGTATGTCTAATGCACATCACAGGGTAGCTACGTGCCTGTGTAAAGTAAAGCAGCGAACACTCCTGTCAGTAACAGGTGCAGATTAAGTTACTGACGAGAAGGAAAAGTTCACTTACTTTGTATACCCTGTATCCCTGACCTGCCTACACTGGATTGCCAATGGCTTTCAGTAGAAGTTGCAGTCTCCATCTTGTGGACAGAAGTGGAACTGCAGTGGTCTGTTATTTAGCCACAGCTGCAATGAACAATCTCTCAGCTGCACTGAATGAAGACAAGCTAAGGCGCTGTTTTTTTGCCAAATGAAAATTGCTCCTCCCTTGGCCTCTGCCTAAAATGTCACTGAGCCCGTGTCTGCTTGGGATATTTTCATCATAACTGAGCGACATCTCCACAATTTCTTTTGCAGCAAAAATTTTTCAAAGAAAATGAAAGTTACATCTCAGTGATCCACACACACATGTCCCTTGAGGGAGTCTTTGGACAGCTGTTGAGCTGGCAGGAGCCCAGGTCGGATTACTCTTTCCAAATGGAATGTTTTGCTCTTGCATACAGCTGTGAAAAGACAACACGCCCACTGTGTCTCTGCCAGACACATCAGCAGCTCGTCAAAACTGAACGTGTCAAAGTGCCCTCTAGTCACAAGACCACAAGGTGGGTTTGGGATGAAGAAGGCCTTTCGGCCCATCTGATCTCATCCTTCCAGAACACCCGCCCGACTGTCTGCGCATCACAGCATCGAGCTGTTTCTTAAATAGATTCAGCGCCATCCCCTCAACTACCCTTCTTGGTAACCCTGTCCCAGTTGTTTATTATTCTCTGTGTAAAGAAATACTTCCTGGTGTCTGTCCTGAAATTGCCCAATGCATTGTGAACCTCTATGTCCTCTTGTTCTGTTGCCTTCGGGGTATTGAAAGTACTATTCTGGGCTCAATATTGGAGTGTCAGCCCACACCTTGTGAGATCAATGTCTCGACATGGGACTTAAACCCACACCCTTCTTGACTCGGAGACGAGAGTGCTACCAACTGAGCCAGGCTGATACACAAAGCTGTGGGTAACCGTTTAGATTCACTGTCACTG